GGCGTCGCGATGGAGCCTGCAATGCAAAAGTTAGATATTCATTCAACTTCAGAAGCTTTTGAAGATTACTTTGAAAGGTTCGAAATCTGGGCTATGACCAAGGAAGATGATGAGGATGTTAATATTGTGGCACACTTCCTCACATTCATTGGAAAAGAAGCATACAGCTTATTAAGAACTCTGGCTATGCCGGAAAAACCCATTTCGCTTTCTTATACAGCTCTCAAGGATCTACTGCTAGACTATGCTCAGTATACAAATTTCAAATGTCGTAAAGGAGCAAGATTTCGTAAAATGATTCATGAGGATATAAAAAAGTCCACTACATTACTACGTCATCTCAACCTAGTGCATACTCAAGGTTATGCAGACAATTCATTGAATTTGGATGCAGTTCACGAGGATGGGGACAAGTTTGGTCAGTGTTTGTCCTGTTGCAAGTTCCACTCTTCTAATTCATGTAAATTTCATAATTCTAAATGCTTCAAATGTCGTGATATTGGACAAGTTCAGTCAGTTTGTAATGCTAATGTTCATCTTACTGCAATTAATATTAAGTCTTGTAATTCTGATTCTACTGAGTCGAGTATTCATGATGATCATTTATCTTTATCAACGATTTCAAAAGACAGTGCAGAGTCATATGGCAGTTCAGAGTTAAATGAAATCCAGAATTCTCGTGAGACAACATTTCCTAATCAACCGATTTATCAGAATTCTCATGCTATTGTACCAAGTATGACTTTTCCTAATGATTCACATATTTCTAATGAAATTACTTGCAATTCTGAGGAAAATATGTTAAATGAACCTAATCATGATCGAAAACCTGATGTGGTTTGGATAGATGCTGATTTTTCTAACGATCCTACGCTCTGCAATGACAGTCCTGATGAATTTCATGAGAATATTTCAGAAGAATCAAATCCTGATGTCATATCATATATTACCTATCCTCATAATGTATTTGATCTTCGTGAAAAACCTGCCCAATGCGAAGCACGAGTACTAAGTGACCTCGAGTTTTATTATATTTCGGATGATTTCATATCAACTGCTGTTTACTCTTATCACAAAAACAGTTCTAATGTTTACTCTAAACAATGTGAGATATATGTTTTAAATGAAGCCACATTATTCATAACTTGGGAGTATAAAGATCCAACATTATTTCGTGGGGGGGGTTAGTGTTGAAAAATCTATGGTTCGAATTCTAGATATTAATGATTTCATTACAAAACCGACATGCTGGTTGTATACAATTCCAGGTGAGTCTGTTCCGATTTCGTTTGTTAATTCCAATACTAATGAGCACTTTCTAGATACTACAAAGTTTTTATCTTATACAATGTCGGACAGACTCAGGATGAACTTAACAAGAAGACGTACAACCGATTACAAACACTTATACTTCTATTCAAGCTGTGGCGGATGTGGTGTTTGAATTAACTAATGATTCTTTTGTACTTGTTGAATGCTCGATTTCGAATTCTAAATACAGTACATTCGTTGTGCCTGTGTCTTCTTAATTCAATTGCGTTAATCCTGGAATTCCTAATTCATACTATAATTAGAATACTATAGTAACACAGTGTTAAACGAACGAAAATACACTGACGACGATCCTGTAATAACATGAATGGAGGATCAGTAGAAGTTTGAGAATACTTCAACTCAGTTAATACTTCCAAAAATATAAAAAAAGAGTTAATAAAACACAAAAACAAGTACACAGGAATTCTATGATTTACTTGTCATTATCAGAAGAGTGCGTGTCCACAGTTCCATATTTGTTCAAAATATGTATGAACAGTAATTCCATGGAATGTCAGATATGGACCCAAAGTTTTCGCATGTAATTGATGGTGAATTTGCTTTATAACCAGAGCTAAAAAGTATGCAATGGCATTGTGAGTAAACAGTTAGAAAACGTCAGTCAACAAAGTCAAAAAAAGAAGTATATGTAAATACTCGTGTTTAGAGAAGGGTAATCAGTATAACATGCGAAAAGTGGACAGGAATAATGAGGGTAAACTTAAACAAAACACTTTGGTCAGTGTGGTCTTTTTATATATAGATTAAAATTATGAAACAACAGTGACAAAAATTGTTCAAAATCTCAGTGTATTTCAATTATTCCTAACAAACCAACGCCGAGTTTGGACCTGGTCAACGTTTTCCATGGTCATAACGTGGACACGATGCCATTTTTGAGACATGATAAAAACTGCACTCATAGTGCAATACTAAAACATAAACAAAATCAATAACCGTCAGAGACATTTGCACGAATGCACAGCCTATTATTTTTATTGATTTAATCTATTTAACAACCGCACTTGAGAAGCATCTCAAATACAAACAAATGTTGTGAATCACAAGTCACGCCAGTAAAAGTAGCATGTACCTGCCGTTGTTTCTACAAAACGTCTAAGCCATCACAAACACCTCCATTTAATTATTTGTCGGCTCAGTGGTGAATGTGAACAGTAGTAAAACATTCATGTCAACATTGGCAAGTGATTCCAACATTCAACACTCTCGAGTGTCATCTTGCTCGTCACGTTCAGTGTTTATCCTTAAGGTTCACCAGTCAATAAAGATTACGTTGTCACGTAACTTCTTTTCTATACCATTGGTAGATATATACTTGAATAATTCTAACCGCTTCTACTGTGTAGTTCACCGATGTTGTTAGTAGTAAGGCTGCTTGGGTTGGACGAAAGCGGTTTGACCCTCTGTGTACGTCAATTAGCATCTAACCATCAATGAGTAGCCTGTCACTGCGATAATTAGGAGTATTTGAATTATAGTACGAACTAAGAATCCCAGAAATAACGCTATTGAATCGAGAAGTACTAGATGAGCTTAAACGAATGGATTGTATTTAGAACTCGAAATCAAGCAGTCATCAAGTACAAAGGTATCATCAGTTCATTCAAACGCTACACTCACCCCACGTTTATAACCAGGTATTGCAGCTTCTTTGGTGAGTGTATGGAACAAGTAGAATTTTATCAAAATGACTATGTAGCGCCAGCAAAATGTCACTAAGCTCTAGCTAAATCATCCTGCAGTTGGGTCACTGATTATTGAACAAATCATCGATCCTCGTCAAGGTATAGGACAACCAACGCGCATCAGTTAATCGTATGCCATGGACTGGCTCATGCGGCAGTGGTCTTACTTTCGCTTGTATCTACTTTAACTAATATATTTCTGTAATAACGTCTTCTGTGTTGTACAGTCTTCAAAGCATCTGTGGTACCTTAATACGTCAATGGGGTAGTTCATTTAAGGTGCTGACCACGAGGTGTGACTTCAACGTTAGCTAGTTTGTCACACCATTCACGTCTAACTCGAGTAGGCCTTCAATCATTTTCGACATAGATCATCTACGTTGGTGATCTACAATTGCACGTATTTGTAAATTTGGGTTAAAGATATACATTATATAGACAAACTGTCTCATGAACAGGTCCAGGGCAAGCAAATGGCTACTTCCAGTTTTTCACTTTTGAAATTCTGTAGTCTGTATAACACAGGGATGGTTTGGCCTGGTTTCGGTGGCACATTACTGTCTCTAAAAATGCCATCGTGAATCAGTAGCTGGGAGTAGCTCCTTCATCAAACCTTTTACCTCACGGACGATGCCATTTGTTTAGTACGAGTTCAAAGAAGACCAGCTCATAAAGCATCCAAACTTTAAAACAAACCATATTCAGCTAGCTTAGAAGCAATCAAGCTAAAAACCTGGAAAGTGACGAGATATAATTATCTTCAACGAATAAATTTCTGAACCTAGCAAGACTTCTTCTTTAGAGAGGACACCAAAGAGATCTCATTGAAAATGATGTTAATAGTTTAGATGTTAGATTATGTAGGGGATTAGATTCCCTGAAAGGAGCGAAGCGATGGTGGCTTAATCTAACGTCTTTAAGAAAGGATTTAACACTGAAAATGCCGTTGGTATTCAGAGGATTTATTTAACTCTATAATATTGGGTGTGTGGTGGATCACAGTAAGGAAGCTTATTCAAGATATAAAAAATGCATAGTTGCGAATGATATGCGGAAAGAAATATCGCGACAAACTGAAGTGTCTGTTTATGAGTAAAGGAAAACGGTAACAAACAACACAACAAAATGGTGCATTAGACAAGACGACAATTTTCGGGGATGAATGTCACATATAAGCTCCTTCTGAGATAACAACCACACATCAATTCAGTATATTACCGAAGGTCCCTATGCGCGTCATAGCACCAACGGTGTGATGAGAAAGATAAATGTGATATTATTACTCGATAATAATCCGGGCCAAAACTCCAACGTAGTGTAGGATGGCCTAAAAGGATGTTATAACATTATTATAATCTTCAGTCACAGGCCGTGGCCAACAAATTAGAAGAACAGACGATAGAGATGGCGTTTATTTCTAATGTAGAGGTGGTGTGTAAATGTATTATCACAACATTAAGGACTAAGGATATCTTACTATGATTTGCCAAATTTTCTCCTCTATTATGGTTAATAAAACTAGGTTCCTGCTTGGAGGTATTGATGATCCACAGCTACTAGACGCGGGAGCCCGCTGAGTGAAAGCTTCCTCCATTCCGTCCTCAACCATTTTGAACCATTTGAACCGAATAATTATATTCGTTTTTACCATTGATACAGAGAAACGATAGATAACAGTATATTTTTGCCATAGCAGGCATTGAATATAGGTGCAATTACTAATGCAGAGAAATGTCGTCTTTATTTTGTTGCTGCAAGAATCACTGATTATTCCTGTCGCTATAGGTGTTACTTTTCGGTTATCTCTCCCATTAATAAGCAATATCCTTGTCAAAAGGGTTGCCACAAAAAGAGACAATGAACAAAGGAGAACCCTCCTCCATTACAGAAATACCAAGGGAGAAACAGTTCGCAATTTCTTCTAGCAAAGTTTGAAACTTGAAGGTGTGTTTATTGAACAATGAGTTTTCCGCTCAAATTGTTTCGGACGTTTGTTCTGGCAATGCTTGAGTCCTTGACCTGATTCGTTAGTATCAATGATGAGAGTCGTTTTTAGCACGATATTGTTTTTGTGTGTAAGCCTTGATATTGCCGTGTGTAACTCAGAAGTGAATGATGATTCATCTGCAAGAACTACGCTACAACTGCGTGATAGTGTGGAGTTTTCTTACTCGATATCAAATTCCTTTTTGGATCTTATTCGTGGTCAGAAACCACCAACAGCCGTCTTTGAAACCTTTGTCAATATTCAAAGTGCGTTTTTGTCGACTTTTAATTCTCTTTGACTTTTAGCTTCTCACCACTCAAGACTCGCATATAGAAGCATTGAGCCCGTGAGTTGCTGTTTCTGTCTTTGATTTACGTTGTGATCTGATTTTTGCGAAAGGCACTGTATTTTGTCACATCTTTACCGTTTTAAACCTGCTCGTGTTCACCCGCTAACCACTTATTTAGGCCGTCTTAGAGACGCAACCAGTTTCCTCGCTCCATGCAGGTTTTCCTGCAAAGTGGTCGAATCCTGTGGTTAACTGCTGAGGGAATTCATGTGAGCACCTTCAATTAAATGCTTTATGAGATGGATAAACAAAAGCATGATAGAAAGTGACTAACTTAGGTCTCTAAACTCCTGTACTCACAACAAAATCTGAATATTAATACTGTCAACTGCTAGTTGTTTGTGTACATATTCAAAATTTACTTGAGTTTATAATTACTGAAAGCTGTTTCCTTTGTAGGGCTTATTATTAAAGAAAGAAAATGAGTAACTAACTACCCATAGGAGTAGTTCATTTCATCTCACAATAGACTAACAACTATCCCGCTATAAACCATCTGATTTTTCAGACATTTGAAAGTACTTCAGTTACTCACCCTCAAAGAAATGTCGAGAGTCTGAGCGTTTGTTCTCCCCTGAAATGGCGTTGCCACGATATAGTCTTAAAGTGTCTCCAAACCTCGCGTTATAAATAAATTGTGAAATATGTAATCATCTGTCAAACTTAAATATAGACTGCTACAGCTTTTAAGAGAATCCAGAGCTCTTCTGTTATATAACAAATGGAGCTCACAACCAAAGTATTCAGATTTCACTTTACGAGAAAAATAATAGTCAGGCTTAGTTCATATGTTCATCCCCCAAGGTTACCGTAGTGAAACGTATTCATTGAGATTAAATACCACAGTAGTATTGATGACAGTAAAATATGATTAGGTGTAGATATAATTTTATAAGAGTGATTCACGAAATAGAATGCATAGAATAATTGCATAACTCAGGATGTAAGGGAAAGGAGAGTGAATGCATCTGTCCCATTGCTACCAAATTTCAGACTACGTCACCTATTGGCTCGAATTACTAGTCTCGATGGCAGCGCGGACGTCAGTTAGGTAGTCCGGGCTACAAATATGACTTAGGTCGGTTGTCAGTGACTTCATGGACTGATATTATTGTTTCATTTATCCCTAGCTTTTGTAAAATGTGCTTATATAATAGCAAACGTCGTGCATTGATGTTGGAGTGTTTGTGCGTACTCAGCGCATTTCCCAGCCTTAGTTGCTAAAAAATCCACTGTATTTTCAAATGATGACTGACCGAATTATTTTTCGTAGTACTGTACTTCCTAGGTTCTACAAGTCCTTGAGCTTTTTATGTTAAAAAGTATATCATACTTTAGAAACTTAGTAAATAAACAATGGTATATGTTTATATATAACCACATACTTTTCTATACAGGTTGTAACGACATACTTGGGATATGGCATATGTCTTGTTGTCGGTCTTCTATTTGCTATTTTTATGCCCCTTGTTGGAATCGTTTTCTTCTGTGCTCGGTGCTGTGGAAAATGTGGTGGACGTGTGCAATTTGTAGATTCCAAACACGATCCCTGCAAACGAGTTGTATACACAGTGTGCCTAGTCTTAATTGTGACTTTCCAATTGTAAGTCAGAATAACCCGTTCAAAGCAATATAATAATATTACTGCTATGCTTGTTTTTCTTTATGTTATGTACGTCTTAGATGTTTGCCCAAAAACCTTTATCATATTTTGGATAGTGACTTTACGTTAAATTCTCAGTTTTTGTTTCCATTAAGATTCATTATTTAAAAAATCTATTTTGTGAATATTATCGTCATCAAAGTTTAAGTATTCGAAGCCTCCCATAAGCGATTCTAAGTGTAACGAGTACTTGTAAGGTCACACTCGTGTGACTTTATGTGACACTTATAACATATAGTTTCCTGGTCAATATTACTAGTTCAAGTCCTTTTTATGAACTAACACTCTTAGTTTTTTCCGCATTTCCATAAGAATAGCTCTGTAAGTAGTTATCTTATCAGTTTTGGAATATTTCCGATCTAAGTGGTTATTAACAAAAGTCATCTAAGGCTAACAATAATCAGGAATAACTATTTGAACGCTTTTAGTAATATTGTTGATGTCGCACTAAAACTTCAACCGCTTGAAAGTCTATCATATCCGTTTCTTTGAATTCAAGTTTCTTAATAAATGCAGATAGTTCGTATCTGTACAGTTTCATAGTCATCATTCACTTTTTAGTGACCTTAAGTCACTAGTACACAGTATGCTATTGGGTAGCATAGTTGTGCTCCTTTATAGAGCTCGTCAGTCTAGCTACTTAACTTTCCGTCTATCGTCTTGGAGTTTTGGAACTTAGGGCTTGAGTGGTCAAATAGCCTTGTTGGCCTATTGTTTCCCCTGCGCATAATGAAAGCTGTTTTCCCACTGTACTAGTAATTTGATCCTAATATTTTATTGCTAGTCAGCTCACTTTTAGTTGCTGCTATTCACCACAGCAAGCAAGCACTTTAGAGTTCAACTTGGTCATGAAGAAGTCAAGAATATATTTTAGGAACAACTAAAGAAGCAGTTAGTCAACTGTGAGAGTGATATCCACCCTGAGTTAACTTGGGGTGATATCTGAACAGTAGTGATATCTACCAGCTACTTAAACCATTAGATTAAGAAAAGTCAATGGATTTCAGCGGCGTCTACTAAACCATGGATGCCTAAAAACTCATCCCGTCTGGCTCTGAACACGAGCAAAACCAACTCAAACGTGGGCTGATAAAAGGCTCACTCAGAAATCGTGAGCAGTGGTGGATCCTGGAAGCAAAAGAGATAGAAAAGGCAGCGGCGATATATAACAGTAGACAGCTGTTCAAACTTATCAATGAAATGGGCATTAAAAACACGGCTGTTGAGAAAACGGTCTTTGAAAAAAACATGTCTATTATTTACTCAATCCAGGAGATTGAACTGATGAACAGAACACTTTTTGGAACAGTTCAACCAGTCTTCAACCACTTTAAATACTCACTATCTCCAAGAAACCTGAATGGCGAATCGATTTAAGTCCTTCAACTCAGTGAGGTTGAAAAGGCTCTAACTCGAGGGGAAACAGCAGGACTTGATGGACTAATCCCCGAGATTTTTAAGGGTTGTGGTTCAGTTTGAGCAGTTAGATTGACTGAGATCTCAGTTAAAATCTGGGGACTGGGTGTAGTCTCATCTGTCTGATCTCGATCACTGATCGTCCCAGTTTACAAGAAAGGACAAAAAATCCTCCTCCAAATGTAATATGTTACTTCAAAATTGGCCTGCGTCATTGCCTGAATTAATGGTAGGGAGGGAAGTAGTTAATTGTATCGACCGCTTGATTTATCTTCGGAGTCTCATCAGTCCTAATGGTCTAGTGCCTGGCAAAATCTCGCTAAAACTTCAGGAAGCTATGCTGGCTATTGCCAACTTGTGGCGTAGGAGAGATATCCGTCTGCCAACCAAAGGACAAGTTTACTGCACATCAGTTTGTTCCATTCTACTAATGTAACTGGTCGGTGATCAACTTATTACACGCCTAACTATTTAATCGTTAGTTGTTAATCTGTGACAAATGAATTGTATCTAAAACACTCGCGTCTGTTAGTCTATTCCTTATTTGAATTTGGGCTGTGTTTTTATAACAGTATAGGCAGACGTTGGTTCCTGATTAATTATTACGATAAAGTAAAAATTCGTCCAACTAAATTGTAAGATATTAAATCGTTGTAACTGATATTGGGAGATTTGATTTTACCTTCGTCGTAGTATTTAGCTTAAAAGCAAATATATCTTTTATTCATCATGATTTTTTGTATGCTCTTTTATATTCTGAAGGGCTGCTGTTGTTTTGGCTTTCATCAATCACTACTTATTTCATGAAGCTTTGGTCAGCAGAGACCCGCGCATAGGTACTTTTAGTCAAGCTAACCTTAGCCTTGTTGAGTTTGAAGAGGCTCTAAAAGATATGGTACAGGTTCGTTCAACACGAGTATTTTTACACTATCCCGAATTACTGTCATTTGTAATCAAGTTGTGGAATTTTTTATTTGGTGTTTTAGTGTGGTTTTTTTCTGTTTATTTCTATTTTTGAGATTTTAAAGCTAACTTCATGTCTAGTTTATTATTTACAATCATACTTCTGTTTGTAAAATACTGAAATGAATGTTCAAATACTTAATGATCTGAGGACTAAAATTCATATTTTGTTGACCTACTGATTTATAGCAGCAGTGGGTTAAACTGACTGTGTGCTTTGTGTTTGGACATTCATTACTGATCCAACGTATTCAGATCAATCTGTACCACTAATTGCTTTTCCATTCTCTGAGGAACTCCAAACTTGATCTGGATTTGACAGACAGGATAGCTGGTGCTTGATGTGTTTCATATTGCCCTAGATAATTGTATCGCTAAATACTTCTGAATTGTCTTATTGTTTCTACTAGTTCCTTCCTTTTGCCATTACATTCGCTCCTATTATCAGTATTTTTTTCTTGTCTCCCTTCACTTAGTTCAGTTTATGGTGTGACTTTTTCAACCGCTACACTTTTCTCATTCCCTAAATTATTTTTGTTTCTCGAATTCTACAACAGTCGTTTGACTCCATTGTTTTATGTTTCTCGCGATGTTTTTTTGGGTCCAGGTCCTAATTTGTGGAAAAGTATCCAATCCTTGTAGACAAACTACTCTAAAAGTTGAATTTGGCAATTGAATAATGATGTAGTCCTTATACCTAGTTAAGTGCGGTCAATCAAGGTTAAATAAACAAGTCAACATATAGTTTGATAGTCAAAACCATTTCGGAGAACATACTAGTCTCTGTAAACTCTGCTGCCAAATTGGATGCTGACATAATTATAGTTGTTGGTAATCTGGTTCAGGTGTGGTATTGGGTCCTTCCCATTTCTCATAGTTTTACAATTTCCATCTGTAGAAAAGACAAAAGTTGACAAAAACAAACAACGGTTCATAAAAATAATGCGCACTGAAGGTTATTCTAAATAAAATGTGAAACTTTGATCACTTGAGTAAAAGTCTTTATGTTGATTATCCGTAATGCATGTGACCTATGGTATCAGAAAGGAGCATGTGACGGTGTTTTTTACTTCTGTTTTTTAGATGGCAAAGAATACCTCCTCAACAGATCTTAGTAAACAAAAAGAACGCTTCATGCGAATTGTAGATGGTAGGTTAAATCGATCAATACATCAACCTTACTACTTTCCATTTAATTTAAATACAATTATTTCTATACATTTTATTTTTCATTTGTATCTTCTCAAGGATGTCGCGTAGGGGGAAGCATTAAACATGCTAATGTAGAAAGGGCTCATTAGTTTAAGCATTCAACTTCAAACCAGTAAGTCTGAACCTCACTAAACGTAACTCGACTTAGAGAACTGGATAGTTTGATTAGCTTTTTCACAAGACTTGAAAATGCAGATAGTAAATGAATTTCAAATAATAATAAAGTAAATAAGTTTGTTTAAGGTTCCCTGTAAGGATTGGTAATCTTCAAGTACATTCGAAGGTTTTGAGATAGGCTATCAGAATAGTGTCTTGGTTTTGAATTAAAGAGCCAAACGAATATGATCAATCAGTTATCACGAGAAAAATTAACGATTGTTTTAATAATTATGAACACAGTACATCAAAGTTCAATGGTATCTGAACTTAAGATCGTCATATATATGTTACGGGATTCTGCTTTTACCTTGCGATTTGCCATTGAGTAAATTGAGGAATGGAATTTACTTTTTTGTTATTATTTTTAAGGTCAAGCTATTTAAAATCATTTCCGTTGTAATCTTATGTATGATGTTTTTGGTCTGCGTATCTAAGTTGTGTACTAGCAAAACTTCACTTACTTTTCTTCCAGATAGCCTTGTCAGTTTTCAAGAAGATTTTACCAAACTGTCTCAAGCGAATAATGTATCTGATGCAATTTCAGAATTTCAAACAAGTATGTATATTTAATCATTTATTAATATGTATACATTATGACATGTGATATTTTGCTTTCTGTACTAAAGCCTTCTGTATTTAGAGTTGAAGATGATAGAGCTTTACATTCAACTTTTTCAAAGGATAATTACAAAGGTTAGGGCATAAGTGTTAAATTCATCATAACGGTACTAAAAGAAATAAACGATGTAATCCTCTGTCACAATGCTTTTGTGTTAATAAGTGGTTATGATATTTGCACATCATAATTTTTCTAAAAATCTCCAGCCGTCTTTAATTACAGCTCTTAAAGGTGACGGGGACAATAATAGTTAAATCTTTCAATATATTACTCAGTGGCTCAGAACTCAACCAATGCTCACAAATTACTGTCATATTCACTTAGAATCTAGGTAAGTGCTCCAATATTAGACCCCGAATAACGCTGCAGTTAAGCACTATGCAGATGATAAGGTTCCTACCTTTATCACTTGAAAATACATCGATCCCGACAGTGTAACAAATTGTGACATAGAAATAGAAATGAAACTATAAACTTTTTCGGATGTCCAAGGAGTGATTTTATATGCTAAGGGTATGTAGTTTGATGCAGTTAGGTGTGAAATAATTTTTTGGGCACAAGATTGAGACATTGACCCATGAAGGTTTTTTGCTATCAAAGCAGTTCTTGTAAACGAGTGAAGGTTTCCCGTCCCAAGTCCTTGGGATAACGGTTCAGTTGCTTGTTGAGGACGTTAATTAATCACCTCGAGAATCATACTCACATAACTTGTTTCGAAAAATGGGCATTGCATTCACATCTTACTTGTCCACTTGGTGTTTCTCTTTGGGTGTTTTTTATGTTTTTGGTGTGATGCCAGTAAAAATGTTAGTTCGAAACGTCACCTATTAATGTAGGTTGTTTGGTGATATCACTGGTTATACAGTTATCAATGTATGCTAATATATACTTATTTTCAAATTAATTTTGCATATGATTAGCAATACAAAGCAATTCATAAATTCCTATTCCATACTCATGGATTTTTTTTTAATCGTATTCACTGTTTCTTATTTACAAGCTGCACGAGCTTTCCTCCCTGGATCTGAGGCAATCGCACAAATCAGTTACTTCAACCATTCACTTTACGAAGTGATCTCTGAATTACCTACCATTCGTCAGGGTTTGACTGATACATTGAATACAGGTTGTCCCATTGATAAGATCATTGAATGTCGAGAATTGATGGGACTGGCCAACGATCAGTTAAAAATTCGTGTTTCACCAAGTATGGTAAGTAATGATTTCATGAATTATATTTTTGGTTTTAGGTTACAAGTTGTGTTATCAAATGATCTATCATTTCTCACTCATTGTTGAAAAATCTCTATTTTTTTACCATAGTTCAGACATAAACAGTTTGGCTTAAAAAATCGCCTTCAACTGACTGAGTAGAAAATTAATTTTGAATCTACATAAAAATATAGTCTAAATAGAAACTCCCTTCAACTTGACATTTAATCAGTCTTCTTTTTATGAAGGAATTTGCTGGTTGCTACCATTGTTGCCAAGGTTTCGAAAGCTGGTTGTTTGTTACCTGTTTTAATTCATATAAAATTCGTATAAAGTATTTTATAGAAAAACATTTAATGAGAATTAGAGAAAAATAAATGAATAGTATTAAAATGCATTCAAGTCTAATACATTCATTAGTGTATTTTTGAAATTCTAACACTATCTAATTTTTAAGAAATATGTGTAGATTTCGATTATTAATCGTAGTGATATTATTTTTAAAAAGAAATTATGTGCATTTTTCTGATTGTAGTTCAAACTAGACGAAGCGTTTTCCATTTCTAATCAAATTCAACGGCATCTTCCTGATGTTGACTATCTCAGTGAAGTAAGGATTATTAATTTTATCTCAGTTCATTGTTACTAATTATTTTAAAAGATTATTTTTTCGGATAACATTACTTACATGAATAAATTACTTGGTATGTTTCTTTTAAACAAACTTCGATATTGAATTCTTGTGTATATACTTTTTCTACATCCCCCCTCCTAGTATCTCAGTATTTTTGTAACAATTCAACAGAACATTTATTTTAAATTTATATCATGAATGGATCAGGGTTAGACCACTATTGAAAAACTGGAAGCACTGGAAGGCCACTTTGTCCTAGCATGGGACTCCTCAGCTGTGAGCATCCATGATCCCGCGCGTGGGGCTTGAACCCAGGACCTCCGGTCTCGCGCAAGAACGCTTAACCTCTAGACCATTGAGCCAGCATCCACCGGTGTTAATGTCTAACTTCAACCAATCCACGATATTGCACGACCGTTCACCGTTAGTTTCAGTGAGTAATTTCCTCACAACAGACACTTTTGAACTCCAATGGCCACGGCTTCCCACTAGAACTCCAGGAAATTCATCTTGAAGCCAGTCACTAATGCGAACATGATAATTATCAGGATTGGTGTTTTGGATTAGGATCTAATAACAAACAGTTTTTGGCTTGTTAAAACGGAGAACGCAGTTATGTGAGTGGTTACTGCTTATCAGACTAGAATGTTGACTAAAATTTCGGAATAAGCTGGTACCAAAGATGAGACCACTAGCCATATAAATAGAATTTTTACATAATAAAATACAATGTTTATATATAAATTTTTAGAAAGATTAACATGATCGGGTGCTATAAAATTGATTAGGGAAAATCCGTTTTGTTAGTCGCTCGCTTTTGAATAAACTAAGACTTGATTACTAGGCCTAATTCTTGTTCATCGTATCGTATTACCATATATTATAAGCCGTATATTCAGATGTTATATACCGAACCTCTGTTCATTGTCTAAAGCTCTGACCCCACCTATTATAGCAATCACACTTTCCCTTTCTTTACACACCTAAATGTAAAGTTATGTTTTTCAATACTTATCGTTTTGATCTGCATCACACAGTTTATTTCAGCTATTAAAAGCTATTCCTGTAAAGCATGGCTATCTACCATTAAGTTCATTGGATGTTGAACTGTTAGGAGATATTATTTAAGGTTTGCTTCATTCTAAATTCATGAAAATTCCAAATACTAAGTAGCCTCTTATCATTCACACATACTCAAGCCTGTCTTATTTCAACTGATGTAAGGCCCAACATTCATATGACCATTAGTTGTATCACTGTAATCTCATTATTCATTTTGTACTTATTCATGTGCTTAATTATTAGCTTTTACCCATTTACATCCTTATATATTGATTGTCTGGTTATTTTGTTCAGTGCCTATTTGAACTACTTAGACTCGTACAATAATTTGCATTATAGCTAATTGTAACATCAATCCACACCATATAAAATTAACATCTACAATTTCTGCACTGTACACATGTGGTTTGATGAATTACTTCGTCTGAAATATCTCTTTTTTAAAAATATTTCGTAAAAAATTTTTAATATCGCCTTGTCATCTGAATCTGATCGCGAAACGGGATCAGCCTGAAAACTGGGATCACGAATAAATGAAGTTAAATCAAACAATAAATTTCTTTTGGTCTATTGGTGGTATTTATGACATAACTTGCCAGCTGATCAACTTTCCTCTTACTAAACACGTGTGCTTTTGTAATCCATTTTAAACCATCATTTGTGTAAGGCCTAGTGATACTATTGTCTATGTATTTTAGTCCCGCAGGGTTTGAACTTGGAACTGAGTAGCTGCATCGAGGGCCTGCTTGAATATCTGGGCTACCTGTTTCTTCCATCTAAATATTTCAACAAGTTATCTTTTTTTTAATTTTTGTTTTAACACCTCATTATGTCTATCAATCTCATAACCTATGCAGGCGCGCATATAAAAAGCTTACAACCTTTCGCTGCACAAGTTGAGAAAAGTACAATAAGAGACATCGTGGTGGTTGGGAATTCGCATTGAGGAGAATGAACATTGATCGTATGTCGATTCCCGAGCTGCTGAATTCTAACTACCGATCACTAATTAACAAGGTGGACTATTTTCAATTCCTACTAAGCGAAAACGTGTATCGTAATTGTGTTGTCATCACAATTCAAGAATCTTGGTTAAGTGATTCACAGGACGATTGCTTAGCATCACTACATGATTTCAATATCTATCGTCAGGATCGATCAAGCGATAAAAAGAGGTGTGGCGGCGGTGTAAACATGAAATGGTGTCGATCTACTTTTTCATGTTTCAAGTTTTCAAATGACTTTATCGACTGTCTAACTTTAAGATGTCCAAAACACCTGAATAAGCACAATTAGGTTTGTGTTACCAACATCTACGTGACTACAGATGGCACATCATCTGGGCTATCTGTTTTCGCTGATGAATTTGCTGTTACTGCTTTCAGGGTTTCACTCTCAATTTTATATGGTGATTTCAATCCATGTGACTGTAGCTTCCTTGCATCACTAGGTCACCAAAATGTAGTAGATTTTCCTACTCGTTTGGATGCTCATTTTCATTAATTTGACTCGTAAACGTGTTCTATTGTCTAGCTCGGATCACTGTATAATTCATGTTCTACCTAAAGTATATGAAAAGCATGGAAAGAGTGCACTCTTACATCAGACCAAGAAAGCCAAATATAGGAATTACTCAGAAGAAGATATGCAAAATCTGAGAAACATGTTTCGTACGACTAACTGGGAATGATTTACAGATGACTCATTGGAAAACACTACTGATATTATCACTTTTTATCTTAAATTCTGGTTTGATATTTACTATTCCACTGAAACCATTTTTCAAAGTTTTGGTCGACGTACATCTTCACAAGTAAGTTGACTACGAAGAGTAAAAAAAGAATGTACAAGAAGAAAAACAATTGAATTTCGTAAGCTAAATGGTTTAATAAACCCAGAGATTAGACGTCTCAGCTCTATCTTTCTCAACTAATCTCATACCGAAAATGTAGAGAAAGATAAAGATAATCCCTATACCTAAGAAAGTATCTAGTGATAAGAATGTGAGATTTAGACCCGTAGCAATAAATTCACCTTTCCTCAAAACGATTGAAAAATTATTGATACTCTCACTTCAACCTGCAGTAAAAGAGCACATTGATCTGTATCAGTTTGCTTACAAATGCAAATGAAGCGCCTTAGATGCCGTTGCTGTTCTGCATCACAATATAGTGTTCAACTTGGAAAAGGGTAAAAAGTATGTTCGATGGGCTTTTATGGACTATACTTCTGCTTTTGATTGTATTCCAAGACAACTTTTACTTAACAAGTCAATCAGCGTCAACACTGACAGCTGGATAACCAATTGGATATGTTCCTACCTCTCTGAAAGAGAACAGTACACTGTGTTTGGAGGAAACTGTTCAGCGTCTCTACTGTCTCATCAAGGTGTGTCATAAAGAGCTGTTCTTTCACCTCTTCTTTTCTCTTTTTTTCTGAATGACCTGCCATCTTCCACAGAAAACACTTTTGTGAAGTATACGGGTGATCTCATTGTATGTATGCCGATTTCTATCTTTTTACATCCCATAGAAATGAATGAGTTTTTGTCTCGTGTTGGATGTTTGTCTGTTGTTAATGATCTCATATTTAATCCGTCTAAATGTCAAGCTGTTAACTTTAGCATGAGACATGAACAGCACCTAAACACCATTTTGAGATCCCATAATGCCTGTGCAATTGGAGACTCTTTGATAAATAATGTCGAAGGTCAATTATCTTGACGTTACCTGTTTCTCTGACCTCTCTTGGTCTTATCATATTTTAACGTTATCAAAGAAAGTTTTCTGTCTGACTTACTACATAAAGAGGCTGCATGCTCTTGGGATTACTCGATATTTACTCTTACAATTTGTCAATTCCTGCATATTACCTATTATTCTTTACTGTTTTCCATCATTCTTTCCCGGGCTTTTGAGGAAAGACTTTGCTGTATTGTGGAGAGTGCTGAAAGCAGTTAGCAAGGTATTTGGTTAATCTTTCAAGGTCATTATTAATATGGTTGTGGATAGATATCTGATGTCTTGCAAACTCCTGGCAGGTGTTATCTTATCACATATTAACCATCTTCATTCACATCTTTCTCCTTGTGTATCTTTTGGTAGAACGAGACCTAAATTCATGCACGCAAGCAAAGGTCTAAAAGTTTTATAATACTTTACCTAGGAAATATACTCTGTGACGAACACGTTGTTAGAGTTAACCTAGTCAATAACCTGTATTCTTAAACATATCTCTAATTTGAAAATTTGTACAGATCTGGATATTTTTCCACCCTTTTTTTTCTTTTTGTTGTTTTTGTAAAAGAAACTTGTTGAAATACTTCGTGCTGGAAATTCTATATTGTACCAAAATATAATACTGAATAAAGCCATTAGTAATAATAATAATAATAATAAGTTAAGGGCTTCGACATTTTGACAACTCAAATTTATCAGCTTGGTCTGATTTTGCAGTATGTGTTATTCAATGTTTTATATTTTGACTATCATGAAGTTCTCTGACATCTTCATTCTAACATATGCTTTTATAATTATTCGGTAGTTTTCTTTTAGTTAATAATTCAATACAATTGTGTTTTTAATATAATGGGGATTTTTCATCAATTCCTTTTTCCTAATTTGTTTCAATGTTATCTAGTTTAATGGAACTATCAACAATCTGGCCGCAAATGTGAAGCGTTCCATTAGTGGTGATCTGGATCGTAAGTCTTCACTCATTAGTTTGTAGCCTACTTTTATTTTTATTGTGTAGTTTTATCTGAAAGGCGAATAGTTTGTGTTATATTTGATCGTTTAGTAGAGAGTTATTTATTTGCTTATGAAAGTCATGAATGGGTTTACAATATTGTTGATGAATCACTTCCAGTTTATGTGTTGGAGTTTAATACTTTAGTAAATTCAGAGATCATGATTTATTAATAGTTCTGCAGTGGGTTATAGGTTCTTGCTGATAGAAATGTCATATGTAACAAAACAGTCGTTCTGATGATCCCTGACTTCCACTGATAGCTAGACGGACATAAACTAGTATTAAAGCATTGTCGTACGTTATGATAGACGTTGATTGTGTGTTAAGAATAACGAGGATCGCGTATCGAATAATTTACAATACTGAATCATCCTTACATATACACTTAAACTTTGAAACGCTTTTCGTTAGGATATGTTTGATCAAGCTGTCGCTTCTGTACCGATCTAGATGTTTCTACAAACCACTTAAATGTTGAGGATTCTCCTAGTCTCCGTCTGATGGTACAGAGAATATGTGAAACACCTTTTTAATACTTTCTAAAAGTATTTTTGCAGACTGGATTTTTGTCAGAGATTAGGCATGTACATACACCCTACACTCCGATGCTTGATACTGACATAAAAGTAAGCAGAGTGGAAAAGATTCTCTTTCTGTATCATATCCTTATATGCTATCTATATGTATTACTACTATTGAAGTCAGTCGTTCTATGAATTCAGTGTTGTGCTAATGAGGTGTGGCAACTTGGACCGATGTATATGTATTCCTGGTCCTACGTTGTAGCTGACTGACTGATTTAATCAAAATCAGTTGCAGTTAAATTGTGTCTTTTTAGACAAGTCAGCTTTAGTTTTTTACGACTGTATGTCACGAGAATTGTTGACATTTTCTTACACATTAACCGCACCAATATTTCTCAATTAGTTTGTATTTCTATGTTTATATCACATTAGATTGATTTTTTGCATCTGTACGTTACGTGTTTGTACTAGAAGTACAGTTCATAGTTCCGTTCAACCAGTTTTTTTTCTTAAGTGATAATACATATTATGACAGGTGACTTATTTTACTTTTCCCATATACCTGTATTGTATTTTATTTCGTTTAATATTTTCATCCATAGAATTCAATTATTCTGTTAGGGTACATTCCCATCATACTTATATAACATTGTTTTTTCATAGGTGCCTGGAACGATTTAGCTCACTCTCCAAAGACACGAGAGAAACTAGCTAGTGTATTCGAACATATTATGGTTAACATAAGCACCACTTTAAAATTTATTCGTGATCGAATTTCATTGGAGATTAATGAAGAAGTAAATGATCATTATTTACGGTTAGTGTGAATTTTATCCTAGTTACATGTATTTCTGGTGAAGTTTCTTTTAAAAATTTACAATCGAAATCATGCTGCTTACTTTGTTTATGGAATGAGCGATTGCCATGCTTTGGCAAATTCTATATTTACGTTTTTCTAATTGACAAAGTAACGCAATTAATGCTTCTAACAGATTTTTAGGCTGCTATAAACTCATTACTACTAAAAAGTTAACGATACTTTATTATATCACGTTTATATGTCTTATATGCTGGGAGTCGACACTATGTTCTTCTGGTAGTAACGCTAGTTTCAAGAGGAACCACCTAACTACACATTGCTTATTTCATATTTCTATCTGTCTTTCTGACAGCTATTCAATCGACCGATATTCACATTATAAAATTACATAGCGTCATTTTCCTTATTGTATGTATGCGAAATTTGTAAGACTACGCGTAGCGTGGTGGTCGGGCTTGCTTATCATAATAAACTGACTGGGCTATACTGGCTGAAAGAATCGTCCCTCAAGGTCCTACCATTCGAGACAGCTCGGCTCAAGAACGGTAAGACTAAAAGCAGCAGACCTAAGGTCCGAGGGTGAAGTCGCACTGCTGACTGTACAGAGGTGTGGTGGCAGTAAGTTGTTTCCTTTAGACAACCAGCATAACGTCGATACTGCCTTCCCAAAAAGAAAGAATGGGGCTAGAAAAGGTCAACCCGAAAAATGCACACCTCACCTTATCCCGAAGATTGTCTGGTGTGACCGACCTCAGGTAGTTGTCCCTTGGGCACTGCAATCACCCCCTTCGGTCACTAAAACTAAACTCGTCTATCAACTCTAAGCTTCCTCCACAAGTGTCACCATGGCCAACGATTCGTGAGCGAAACACTGTTAGAAGTCTACTGAAACCTCACTCCAAACTACACATTGAAGCCCTGTGTGAAATCGGCCAGCAGGCTTCCTTGGCTAAATACCTAGAATATCGTACGGTTGATGTATGCTGTGTCTCCGAAACACACGTACAGGATCCTAGTGTATTCATTTACTTAACCTCACCTCTCCGAAACGGAGAGCCAACAAGACACACTCTCCGCGTATTTGGCGACCCGATGGCTAGTTCTCGTGGACTGGCAGGTGTAGGCATAGCATTAAGTACGAAGGTGGAACAAGCACTATTAGAATAGATCCCTGTTACCAGTTGCCTATGTGCTGTTCGGCTAAACGGCTTGGTAAGAATTTGGAAGGATAGGTACACATGTTGTTGCCCTTTCATCATTTTACAGAAAGCTTTCTGAACTTCAAAAATCTAAACTCAGACATAGTACTCATAGCGGCTGACTTTAATGCTGAAGTAGGCAGCTTAAACCAAACAAAAAGACCTTCAAGTGGGTATTTTAGTATTCCGGTTCAGCGAAGAGATAATGATGACCGTCTGCTGCAGTTGTGCTCAGACAAGCACTAATTTTAAGCATAAGGAGTGGCATCGTCTAACATGACAATCCTGTGCACCAAACCAACGATGGACTCAAGTAGACCATATTGCCGTCAGTCATTGTTGGAGAGGCTCGATGGAATACTGCCGCTCGTGGAACACTTTAAGGAGCAGTTCAGCTGGCTTTCAGCCACTTTACAACTACCCACCATTCCCAAACAGAGCTTATGGCGAACTGTCATCCGATTTTGCAACCTCAAGTAGTGTCCGTCAAGGCTGTCCACTATCTCCATTTTGTTCAAATTCATCATAGACCTACTGATGGAATAAACGTCCTCGTCGACTGAATTTTTGGTCATTCATCTCTTTCTACGAGGTCCACATAGTCCTGTTTGGTGAAGACGCTGATAAAATGCATTCTCTTGGTAGAACTGAGCAACAATGCCTCTAAATGCAAGTCGTGACTTCAAAACTGGCCTGCGTCAACACCTGAGCTAAGGATAGGAAGTGAAATAGTCAAACGCGTCGACAACTTCACTTATTTTGAAAGTCTGATAAACCCCAATGGGTTGGTATCTGTCGAAAACTGCACGGATTCAGAAAGTTCATTTGGCTTTTGTCAACTTTCGTCACCTATGGCGAAGGCGACATATCCGTCTATCGATTGAAGGACGAGTATACTGCTGAGCAGTTCGTTCTGTTTTACTTGACGGCTAATAATAGAAGATACTCGTAAGTTACTAGTATTTGATCACCAATGTCTTAGAAATATTGTTCTCATCTGTTGGGATCACCGGGTAAGTAATAATGAGATTAGACGCACGGTATTAGGGAATGATGGTAAATCAGTTGATAAGGTTGTAAATCTTTATTGATTGAGGTGGCTGGGCCACGTGTTACGTATACGTGAATACTAATTACCACGACGCGCAATACTGACTAGTGTTGGAGACGGATGGTCTGAGCCATATTGGTAGATGCAGACTACTTGGACGGGGTCTGCGCGACTACTGTAACCAACTGTTGGAGACTGGGTGACATGGCTGAGAATCGATCACAATGACGTAGGTGTATACACTCTTTGTTTTCATTTAAACCGTGAGATTAAAATTACTTTATACCTTTTTTTCTACGAACTAATTCTTCCTCTCTGTATCATATCCTTATATGCTATATTTATCTACATATATCGCTATTATTGAAGTGACTGGTTCTATGAATTTGGTGTTGATCTTGTTGTACTAATGAGATATGGGACCTTGGACCGATGTATATACATATATATATGCCTGGTCCTACGTTGTAGCTGACTTATTGAATGTGCTGTGTAAACAATAACAAACAGAGTTGACATTTTTATTTATTCTTATATCATTTTTTATTGAAAGTTTCTAAAGTTATACGCTATCTTCAATGAAAATTTCTAGAGCTGTCGAGTATGTGTTATATGGCGGAGTGGCTCTGCTGTGCATTCCCATTTTAATTTTCCTGATATTATATCTTGGACTATGTTTTGGCACTTGTGGTGATCGTCCATATGAAGAGGCCGGTTTGTGTAATCGGGGTGTCGGCGCCAATTTTTTACTTGCGTAAGTGTGATATTTTATCCTTTATATATATGTGATCAATCTGATTTTTTGTCCTATTTTATCATACTAAGTAACATTTGCGTTGGGTGCTATAGATAAAAGAGTAAACTATTTTAAAGTGATCAGTTGATTCTTTCTTCAATACAGAAATTACGTAACGTGTTAATAAGAGATGAGGAACTGGTCATAGGGAAATATGAAGGTTTTCCTTACAATTTTTGACATAAAATGTAAATCATGTTGATTTTTTTTGGAGATGTAGGTGATTGTTTCCTCTCTTATTCGTCGTTAAATATAATCCGACCATATAAATCCATCTGTTATCCTTTTCATGATATTTAATTCCACAAGTGTTCTATATCTTTAGTTGTGAGACTATATTGGGCGTCAAATATCTTTTTACCACTCAGTCAGTCAGTCAGTCAGTAACAACGTAGAACTTCGTACGTACGTACATCAGTTCGAGTTGCCACACCACATTAGCACAGAGATGCAGTTGTCGATTCAAATCCCGTAGTGGTAGAGGTAATAAGAGTATAAGCAGTAATCGGGAAGATTAGGGTTTGGAGATGTTATTTAAAGAGTATAATCCAGTGAAAGAAATTTGGAAAGAGGAAAAAAGGGACATGAAGAATTCAGAAGATTAGAATTTGGGAGAACACAGAGAGTGGATGCACCTGCGCCATTGCAAACGATTTTGAGCCATGTCATTCAGGGTCTCTAACCATCGGTTGCTGTCATCTCGCGGTCCCCAACCAGGTAGTCTACACCTACCAACATGACTCAGTTCACTTGTCAGTGACTTCATGGACTTGTGCCATGTTTTGGTTTGGCCGCCCTTAGCTTTCTTCCAACCTACTCCTATACCACTGAACATAGCACGTCGAGGCAGTCGGTCGTTGGGCATACGTAACACGTGTCCCAACCATCTCAACTGATGAAGTTTCACTACTTCATCAATTGATTTGCCATCCTTACCTAGTACCCGTTTCCTAACAACTGTGTTACTTACTCGATGGTCCCATGATATACGAGCAATGTTTCGAAGACACCTATGATCAAATACTAGTAACCTACGGATATCCTCTACTCTTACCGGCCATGTTTCACTGCCATAAAGTAGGACGGAACGAACTGCTGCGCAGTAAACCCGTCCTTTGGTTGATAGACGGATATCTCGCCTACGTCATAAATGACGGAAGTTGGCAAAAGCTAGTCGAGCCTTCTGTATCCGTGCTGAGATTTCGTCACACACTAAACCACAAGGGCTGATGAGACTTCCAAGATAAGTGAAGCGGTTGACACACTCAACTACTTCACTCCCTATCACTAGTTCGGGTGTCTATGTAACCCAATCCTGAAGCAACATTTTGCATTTCGAGGGAGAGAATGGCATGCTGAACATGCTTGTATTGTTGCTTAGAGTGGTCAGAAGACTCTGCATTTTGTCAGCGTCTTCACCAAATAAAACTATGTCATCAGCATATTCTAAGTCAACAAGTGAACCTCCTGGTAGAAGTTCAACCCCTGTATATTTAGATGAGGAGAGTGTTATCTCTAAAAGTACGTCAATGACAAAGTTGAACAAGAATGGGGAGAGTGGACAGCCCTGACGAACACCACTTGAGGTGATCAATTCTGATGACAGTTCACCATAAGCTCTCACTCTACCAGTTGTGTTCGAGTAGAGAGCCTTTATAAGGTTAATGTACTTCTTTGGTACTCCTTTCAGTGACAAACACTGCCATAGAACCTCACGATCAATAGAGTCGAATGCCGCCTTAAGGTCGAGAAATACTACCATTGTGGGGCGTCTGAATGTGTGTCTGTGTTCTAGAACCTGACGTAGTGTGAATATCTGATCTATACAACCACGTCCAGGTCGAAAACCAGCCTGGTTTTCTCTAGTCTGCTCTTCACGAGCTTTAGTTAGGCGTCGAAGTATTATTGAGGCTAATATTTTAGACACTATATTAGTCAAACTGATTCCTCTGTGATTGTCACAAGAGGACTTTTGTCCTTTCTTATAGACTGGCACAATCAGTGATTGAGACCAGTCAGATGGGATTACGTCCAGTTCCCAAATTCTACCTAAGACCTCAGTTAATCTCATTGCTAATACTGGACCACCATCCTTAAAAATCTCAGGAGTAAACCTGTCAGGGCCTGCTGCTCTCCCTCGCTTCAGATTTCCTATGGCTTTTTCAACTTCGTAAAGGGACGGAGGACTTACATTAACTTGCCATTCAGGTTGACTAGAGATCGTGGGAAACCGAAGTGTGGCTGAAGGCCAGTTGAACTGATCCCTAAAGTGTTCTGCCCATCGATCCAATCTCCTGGATTGAGAATGTATAATATGTCCATCGTTCTCTGAGATTGTTTCGCTAACGGTCGGGTTCCTAATTCCGGTTTCCTTAACGAGTCTAAACAATTGTCTGCTATTATTTATTGCCGCTGCCTTTTCCATCTCTCTTGCTTTCGCTACCCACCACTGTTCACGATCATTGCGTGGACTTCTTATCAGCTTGCGCTTAAGCTGACTCCGCTCTTCATTATGCTCAGAGCCAGGTGGAATGTGTTTCCGAGCATTTATCAGTGAGATAGATGCTGCTGAGATCCAGTGTTGCTCCCTAACCTTCTGGTTTACCTTACTAGCAGATATCACTGCTGTTTCCACAGCTTTTCGGATATCATTCCATGCTGCATCGGGGTGGGCATCACATACATGGCTGCCTAACTGTTTTCCTAGTTGTTCCCGAAATATACTCTTAGCTTGACTATCATTAAGTAGGGCCCTGAGAGGTTTCCTTGCAGGATCTTTCCTACGTCCAGTAAGACGCAGACAGATACGCGCTCGCACTAGAGCATGATCTGAATCTAGGCATGTGCTCCAGAATGAGCGACAGTCTTCTATCGAGCCCCTCCATCGGTGGCTGATAGCGATGTGATGTCCAAAGTTGGGACGAATTAGGGGGTCGCCATGTTAAAAGATGTTTTTGCTTATGCTTAAAGTTAGTATTTGCAAGGAACAGGCGGTTGTCTGAGCATAGCTGCAACAGACGGTCGCCATTATCTGTTCTTTGAGCCACGACACCATAAGATCCACCCAGGTGTCTTTCCCTATCGCTTAGTTTACCTACTTGAGCATTAAAGTCACCGGCCACCATTACTACATCCGAGCGCTTAGCTTTTCGGAGAAGGTCCGAAAGCTTTCTGTAAAACTCATCTTTTACATCATCCGAGCTGCAGTCAGTGGGAGAATAGGCAGAGACGACGAAGAGGCAACGACGAGTGTCCCTATCTTTTCGGATCCTTACTGTTCCGTTCAGTCGGACAGCGCACAAACGACTGTTTACTGGGATCCACTCTAAGAGAGCTAGTTCTGCCCTAGGACTCAATGCTATGCCTACGCCGGCGAGGCCACGGGAAGCAAAATCAGGGCTTCCAGATACACGAAGCGTAAATCGAGTCGGTTCTTTATTTTGGCATGGTGAGGTCAAATGAATGATCCTGTATGCGCGTTTCGGAGACGCAGCACATATCGATGGCGCGAGATTCTAAAGTTTTAGCTAAGGAAGCCTGCTGTCCTATTTGGCAAAGTGTTCGTACGTTAAAAGCTCCTACGTGTAGTTTAGAGCGTGGTTTCAGGAGACCAGGAATGGCGTTCCACGTACTCGAATCGTTTGCCCTAGCGGTGCGAGATGATAATGAGACGTGAGGAGGGTTAGTCGGGAGGATAAGAGAGGTATTAGGAGGTGTAGGAAGGATTTGAATGTGACCACCTTGGTCTCTTGTGCTGTTACGGGTATGAGGGCTGATGTCACTTCCCGGCTGCCCACACCGTGGAAGGGTATTTCTTGAGGAACCTGAAAAGGAAATTGGATTAGTGGCGGTCCCAGTGACCTGAGAGCGTGACCACAGTGCCCAAGGGACAACTGCTTGAGGCCGGTCGCGCACGGCCTTTTTGTGGAAGGTTTTTGACATGTTAGCTCCGTTCTTCAAAGGGCCTTACCGCCGGAGACGGAAATCCGTGAGGTAAGGTGAGGTGTGCATTTTTAGGGTCGACCTTTTCTAACCCCACCCCTCCTTGTGGGAAGGCAGCATCGCTGTCATGCTGGTTGTCCGAGGGAAACACCTTACTGCTGTCACACCTCTGTACAGTCAGCAGTACGACTTCGCCCTCAGGCCTTGAGTTGCTGCTTTTAGTCTTACCGTTCGCCAATCGACCTGCCTGGCATGGTAGAACCTGCAGGAACATATGTTTCAGCCAATATAGCTCGGTTGGGTCATCACGATAGGCAAGCCCGACTACCGCGTCAAGGTAGCAGCTTCGATCGGGAGAGCCTTATATTTACCCGTAGTTTAGGGTATAGTTTTCTGATCTTGTTCTCAGATTTTAATCAAGGTGTGACTATATATCCACTTTTTCTGTTTAGATTACAGTTTCGAAACAGTTTTACTTTTACTCAGGTTAACGTTATTAACTTTAATCTCATAAACTGAAGTTCAGTAAGTGTGAAAAACCAAGTGATAGATGATATTTTCTTTTCAATATTCACGGATGTCTATGGAAACTTTGTTTTTGAATTGATTGAATTGCTTCTTGCAATTAGCTCCCAATGTTACATTACCTTTTTTCAGAGGTGTAGGATTCATGTTTCTTTTCTCAACTATCTTGATGGTCTCTTGCATGGTACCTTTCCTTTTTGGCGGAACTTTGCAAACTGAAGTTTGTCGATATCTGACTGGTCGCTATCCAGATGGTCCTCAAAAAATGGACCAATACGTTTTTCAAAGTTTGAAATCAATTCTTCTTGCCGTTGAAGGGTCACTACCGAACTCGTCTAAATCTGGGACATTTCATGTTGATGAAGATGAACTGGAGGCTATCAGGTCAACGTTGGATATTATTCATTTTAATCTGTCAGATGCTATTTTGACTCGATGTGAAAACGAACCATTCGTAGAAGCAATCAGTACAGGAGAGTTCGTTTCCCCTATACTTGCTGATGTAAGTCGGTTTTTTCTTTGACTTGAAAACAATTTTTGACATCATTCACAATTGTGATTAGTTTTTATTCTAGTGACATATCTACAACTTTTATTAGTTTCTTTGAATAAGGAACAGAGTTTTTATTTATACTGTATTTTTAACGTGTAGTCCTGATGTATTTATTTATTGTAAACATTGGTCTGTAAATATTTATAAATCTTGAAAACAACAGAGCAATACCTATCTGAGTCATCCAATCATTCGTAATAGTTAAAATGTGAAAATCAGTTTAGTGTTCCTGTACATCTCGCAACTGTAAAGTAATCTTACGTCTGTAGGTCGATATCTTCATATCTACTAGTTAACTTCAACATCCAGTTGCTTACGTAGTGTGGGAAATGAATTATTCAAATGTAGTTTTAGTCTTTCCTTTTTCCTTTATTACTGTGCATGCAGTTGAAATATTATTTATTCAACAAAGGCTAAGGTTATCCATCCACTTTTAATTGTTCAACAAATAGGTGGTATCCATGACTTTCGGGCATTCTTTTTATTCATTTAGTTTATGATCTTTGTATTTAGGAATGTAATTTTTATTCGTGATTTCATTCCAAGCTCTAACTTTCGCTACATTTGTGTTTTTCATCCAGCATGTCGGAATGAGCTACACTAACGTATTCATAGCTGACAGGTGTTGGTAACGAACTTCAAATGCTTGAAATGAAGTTTAAAGTGGAAATTACACTCTTTTATTCAGCAATCGTCCACTAAATGAGCGGTTAATTGCTTGAAAATGATAGATATCGCATACGTATTAAACAGTGAATAACTGGTGAATAGCTTCGACCATAATTAAGGTAGCAAGTGATTTGTTGATGTAACTGCGACGATCATTTGGTTGTTATTTAACTAACTGAAATAATCACTGGCTGTCTATTTGACAGAAGGGATGTATAAATTTAGGGCAAAATAATAATAGAATCGATTCCCACGGTTTACAAGATTAATCACTATATGTATGATACTTCGTACATTTGCAGTTGGATTATCTGTTTAGTAAGAATCAAATTAATTGACTCACCGTATAACACTATAATTTTAGTTAATTCGTTGAGAAGTGATCATTAGATTCTTTTTAATGTCTAACCGTACGTGCATAAAATTCCTTGTTTCTTTGTGGAGATTTGTATGTACAGCTCATAAGTCATTTGAAACACGTTTCTTCGAGAGAGATCGATGATTTATTCGTTTGTATTTTATCTATGCACCACAGTAAAGAGTCATTTTGTTATAAACGGAGAAATATTTCAACCTTCTGAATAGCTTGGTGTATCATGGTGCACTTTTTTGTCTGTTACAAAAATAAATAACGAAATACGTAACAGGATCATTTCGAATTCCATTTCCATAATGTCATTGAATAGGAAAAAGAGAATTCAGCTCAGAGTACAGGGTGAGCATATCTTTTAACTTGTAAATTAATTAGCATGTTGTAAAGTCCTAAATTAGCTTGTCAGACTTATCTGACGTGGTTCATTGGGATTTCTCATCTTGGTTTCAACTTTTATTTGTTTCAAATTTACAACGTACATTAAAACATTCTTAGGTTTCATATAATATTCAGTTATTATGTGTTTACAAATTATTGTTATATCAATTTTTTGCATATTTTAGGCAATTGACGGAATTTTGCAGGATCTCATCGAGTCATTTAAGAAAGTCGACATAGAGTCTCCATTTCGCCGTACTATCGGGTCGTGTTTAGCAGCTTTTGAACGTCTCAAATTTCTTTCTGCTGTTAATTTCAAGGAAGCTATCAACCAAGTTAGTTTAAAACTTTTGATATTCTTTTATTCATGCTTTTTTCTGTTCCTTCTTTTGTATTAGATATCTGGTATCTTTCCAGAGCAGATTATATTGGAATAACTCGTTACAACGAAAGATATCTTCTTATCATCAGTATCATTTTGACACTTTTTATTCAGCATGATATTTATAGCCTAAAGGAATTTGTTGAGAATATCAATCTTCACGGAGCAAATACTTTTTCTGGATGTTTCATCCCTGTTAATAAACATTTATGTCAATTAAACATTTCGTTTCTTTTGTAATTACCATTCCAGAAACAAACATGCACTTGCAACATTCAGTTTAAGTAAATGAGAATTTCTGCATAAGGGAATTATGTATCTATTAAAGTTTTCCCTATTCAGTACTGACTAAATCGTTTAACGATGCATCTTGGAACTTGTAGAGGAAGGTTTTCTTGAGAAATTTCACACACTTAGTTCTGTTTATTATCTTTCAAGATAACAAAGGAAACATCTTGGAGATATTATCTTTGACCAACAAAGCTACTAACTCTCCTATAAAGCAGTGCATTAGTAAAACTTAAATAGTGTCTTATAGACAATTCGGCACGAAAATTATCGAGTAAATGTAATGCCCCTCGCTCTTCTGTACTTTTTCAGGCTGGAGTACTTATAAAACTCGTTATTCCCACCTCTGAATATGTTGGCAAGGTTTTTTTTTCAACCTATAAGCATGGAAGGGAAAGTTAGAGATTGTTGATGGATTTTATGTTCTTAGTGTGTTAATGTCTCAAGCAACTAATGAACATACATACTTATTTACGATAATGTAAATACGATTATAAACTGACAGTACTCATTTTTTTTAGAGATAATTCTCGTCGTATTGTTGATATTTAAAAGCTGATATCTCATTTAAGTTCTTTGGGGTTTGAAACTAACTATTCAACTATAGCGAATAACATAAATAATACTTTAACTAAGAAGTGATTAGTAGCGATATCGCGGTTTTTTCCTTTTAAAGTATTTTTTGCATCAATGTATGTTTGTTGCTCTAACATAGGTTATAAACGAACTTTTCAAAAAGTGTTTTCTAGTGTAGACAAATGCGTAAAGGTTACAGTAGTAAGATTAATCAATGTGACAGCAGTAATTTGTGTGCATTTTCACCTATTTGTGCGTATATACAATTCTATAATAAAAGGTTTTGAGGTTTATAAATAATAATGTGTCTCTGGACTGTGGGAATAATTTAAAATACAACGATTGCAACGTAACCAAGTATGGTAACTGCTCGCAAGACCAGATTATCGACTCAGGTCCATTGAAAGAGCTAGTATATAATAAACATTTAGACAGCAGAACATGATTTTTCTTAAACAGGGTAACATGCTTATGTAAGAAAAAATAAATAATGTATGGGGTTTAACTAACAAAATAAACATCTGTCAACCAAAGGATAGGTTTACTGCCCGTCGGTTTGCTCCGTTCTACTTTCTGTGTAAATCATAGCCATTGTTGGAGACTGGGTGACATGGCTGAGAATCGATCACAATGACGTAGGTGTATACACTCTTTGTTTTCATCTAAACCGTGAGATTAAAATTACTTTATACCTTTTTTTCTACGAACTAATTCTTCCTCTCTGTATCATATCCTTATATGCTATATTTATCTACATATATCGCTATTATTGAAGTGACTGGTTCTATGAATTTGGTGTTGATCTTGTTGTACTAATGAGATATGGGAACTTGGACCAATATATATATGTATATATGCCTGGTCCTATGTTATCAGGGCTGGCTGGATTTTTGTTGTCTTAATGTAACTTATACCATGATTGCGGTCATTAAACTGAATATTTGATTGTCTCTGTAGTTTAATCATTGGTATTTTCCTTCAAAGCAATCATAGTTTTTTTTATTATCACGGAAGCAATTTCATTTTTAAATCGATCGCATGAATTGATATGATTTATTTTCGACTTCTGGGCATAGAAACTTTCTTGCTCAAAACCACCTTCACTTCCCTCTTATAACTACGATGGCTGTGGGAAAACCTTAATTGCTGTGATCATGTAACGGAAGCAGTGAATAGGTGCAAATAAAGAAGGGATCTCATTTCAATATCGAATGAGCTATGAGTGAAATACTTTGAGATGGCTATAATTTTCATACTTCTTGAGTTGTTCACCAATTTTTATGAAGCACTCAGTTTCATAGTTATAAATGGTTGGTTCTATTGTTCCAGTAATGAATTTACAACTTTGTTTCCACTGTTTATGACTATGTTTTCACTTAAGTGTATTATGATTATTAGGATTATTATTTTGACATCATTTCTTTCTCTTAAACTGCTATCTTCATTTGAAAAACCTTAAAAAAAAACTCAAAACAGAATCATGGTTTTCTTCACAGTATGTGTTTTTATTTGTATAATAGGTCAATACTCCACTAACTTTTATTGATAATCTTGGTGAATTTGTGTCAAGGTTGAAGGCTTTAAATATGGTGAGTCTTGTTCATATTTGTATAATTCCTTTTATATTTTCCATGTGAATGTGGTATTTATAACTAGATATTTTCACTTATGTAAAAAATTCTAATTACATTGTATTGTGATGCTGTCTTATGACTTATAGTCACTCACTAATATCATATAACGAAAACACCAATGAGAATTCGTTTCAGCACTAATAACCTTGGATCAACTCTAAATCCTTATTGGTCCTCCACACAGTGGTTTCCCACCTTGCCCTTCCCGCCGAGTCCAGTACATAATAATCGACCTCCACTGTATGAATATCTTTCAGTTGTATTCAGTTTATGTACAGACATGCCCAATCACGTCACATCATCAAATAAGAAGTAATTTTATATGATGAATTGAGAAAGGATGTGTGAATCGGGGATACAGGATAATAAATTGGTAGCAGAATAAGAATAGTGAATCACACTACAGTGGTTAATGGGTTATTTGAAAGCTGATGATAAAAGGAATGCATATTGATATATAATAATCTGGTTACTTAATAACTATACAATACGATATAACAATAGGATATAACGCTGTGAATGTATTATGACTTGGTAATTCAGGTAAACACTTGTAGCTTTGATTCTTATAAAAATTCTTAGTCCTAACCTAAGCGATAAGACGTAGTCCAATTTTGATTGATTTCTAATTTTGTCAACAAGATTACCTAAACGTACATTGGGTGTACACAAATGGGGTCACAATGGCTTTGAAAAAGATGAAAATAAGTTTAGAAATCAATAATCCTGTGAAAAATGCGAATAGCACATCATGTAACCATATTATGATGGGAAAAACACTGAAGTTGAAATTGTGGAGAAGACATTTTAATCCCCAAAGCTATGTCATTAGCCGGATGCACCTGTATGCCAGAGTTGATGTTCTCCCCGGGAATCAAACCCAGTACCGTTCTCTTCAAGAATAGAAAACTGATCAATTGCAATCCCAAACATCAGTGGGAGGATTCAAGAAACAATACAAATGAATTACCGATAATTGTTTTGTCCACTTTACACTACGTTAGCAGTTGATATTTGCTTCAGAATGTCTTCATATACACGTAAATATCAATTGTAGATAAGAATCACACAGGAACACAGTGTTATAATTAGCTATCAACAAGTGTTTATGCCATATACTACAGATTGTTTCTATGCATTCTAACCAAGTCTATTGTTTCCCAATATCTTCAAGGAGTGGAAAAAGGGCAACAACATCAGTAAATATAAAACTCTCAAATAATTGATTTATATTCTCCTCAGTTACTGAGTGATTGCAGATCCGACAGTTTACATTTTAAGAAATAATTTGGTTTTATGGATTTTGAAGAATTCCATATTAAATGACTAAATATAAGTTCCTCCACTATATGATAGAATACGTAGCATCGATTTCATACATGCGTTTGTTATTAGTTCTTAAATGTCATACTTTCCCATTTATTTTTCATCAATGTAACAAGGTTCTTGTTGATGTGTCAACATTACATAAACGTTATTTTAGAGATAATATTTCCATGTGATGACTTAGGGGCTGATCTCCTACCCCGAGATTCATCTATTGACTCGGAATACACATGACGTATTGAACTTTCAATGTAGGTTTCTGACGTAGGTTATGGTTATTTTATCATAGTTCTCTTTCAAGTCATTTTGTTACCTACATGTTATGTATCTGTTATTGTCTTACTGGTAAACTTCTCTGCTTTCTTTTCTTTGAAAATATAAAGGAATCTTTAGCTCCACATATTCAAACTCTTGTGAATGGACCTGTGAAATTAGATGCCACTCGTGATAACATTTACACCTTGTTTGTCCGATTCAATAGTTTACCGGATCAAATGAATATTGCAATTAACAATCTTAATAGATACAATCAAACATTATCTACTTCCGTCCAGTCTGTAAGTGTAATTTATGCACACACAAAAACTTTTCACTTGATTTTCATTTGTTTACTTATTCATATTCGTACCAAAATATATTTGGGAAAAAACATACTTGTTTGACTTAGTAGCCATATTGACTTGAAGAAAAACAATTTCACTGACTGTTTAAACAACGCTAACTGAATAGTGTGTCTCGTAGATTTATTGGTTAACTCAGTAGAAGATTAGTGTATGTAATTTTACTATCAAGAAATTTGGCACTATAATGTGAAATCATTTATTCAAATAATATTCTCAATGCTATAGAACACATCATTTGATCACGGTAATATTTATATTGATTAGGAATTATGATGTTAAATGATTACAATGATATTTAAAAGCATGAAAATTGGTTTATGTACTAAATCTAACACTATGTAAGTTTTCTCGATGGGATATTAATAGTTAGGGGTAGATTATCAATCAATGCGAATTAGCTAGTATTAAAGATAGAAAGGATTGCCTGTAATCAACTTTAGAAGATTGTTATTATGAAAGCGATTATTAGTTTATTATGATATATTTTTTTAATCGATTAAAAGATGATCCACCTACACTAACATTTTAATGTCTAAATTTTTAAAAAAAGTTTAGTCTCAGTTGTGTCTAACATATTTTGACCATCGATTTATACGATCGCATTTTCTTCATATGTACACTTGGAAGGTAGATATTTTTTTTCATTTCAACTTAAGCTATTTTGATCGATTTTTCATTACGGACAGATATCAACTTATTCACTAGTACATACATAATCGTTGTCATTCAGATAAGGTTACTGGTGAAAATATGTCACTGAGTCTATTTTGACTTTTTTTATTTATTGTTATTGTTGTCAGAGTATGTTAGAGATAAAGCATAAAAAATGTTTATACACATATAGGTCAAATTAGATGTAAGCAAGTAATCAATTATGAACAGCTAACCATTGTTCAATTACTGGTGTGTACTGGAAAGTGTTCTGAATTTTCTAGTAATTCAGATAAATAAATTTAGTAATATATACATACTACTGATTTATGATGAAATACGATCATGTTTAGTGTGTCATTATGCATTATTCATGCGTCTAGTTTACACTATATGAGTCGATTTTGTCTGTAAATTGTTTTTGTGACATTTTAATAACACAGTGATGATGGTCATCATCATGATGCTCAACTGTTTACTTTTATTTTGTATAGATCTTAACAATCAAATAATATTTACTTACTGGTTTACAATTGTTTATTACATTTTGTCAGTGTTTTTGTTTTGTGCATATCGGTCCGTCAACCATGATATTTATATAAGACCATAATTTTTATAACATTTGCCCATTTGGTACCAGTCAGTGTTAACATTTACAGATTAACTGTATTTCATATTAGAGAACTAGAAAACAAGACAAACAAATGTATTGAAATAATTTTATCATTCTCATTGTTTTAATACTCTAATTTCTATTATTTAGCTCACTACTAATTCGTTGATTGTTCATGCATTTTTTTAATTAAAAAAAAACTTTATTTTTTCAGTCTATGAATCGTGGAGTTAACAGATTCCATCTACTTTTAACTAAAGAATTACAATTGGCTGTTATAGCCACTTGGCATGATATCCCGTGTCAGTCACTTCGTTTAGCTGCCAAACGTGGAGTCGATTCAGTTTGTTATACATTTTTAATGCCATTTGTAAGTGTACATTTATCTGTGTATTTCGTAGTGATCGTTTGTATTGTTACCCTATTCATCTGATGAGTGTCTAGATTTCAGTGTTTATTATTATTTGTATGTATATTGCCTTGACTATCGCTGAAACTATTACTATCCACAATAATTAAGTTCAAAAATATGACTGTCCTGATAAATGAACACATCGTTGTCTAACTAATATCAGATTAGTCCAATTCTTAGTGCTGGTTGATTTCTATCGATCATATTGGTCCAATTAGTCTAATTAATTCAACATCACAATAATGTACTTTTTTCAGATTTCCTTCAACAATAACTATTATATGTGTAAATATGTGTAGATCTTTTGTTACAGGAAATAAATATTTGTTTTCTTGTCTTTGATTCTTCAGAATGCATTTTGGACTGGATTAGGATTTACACTACTTCTTTTCATTCCCGCTATTATTTTCGCTGTTAAACTGGCTGGTTTATATCGCAAAACAGAGAAATATAGTCACGATTACGAAGAACCGTGAGTATATACCTATTTGTATATCTGTTTTTTCATTGTAACTTATCACGAAATTGTATTCTTATCATATTACAATTTGTTTTTTTTTCATACGCATAGTTCCCTTTATTGTTTTAAAGACAGCAAAAACAAAGATTAGTGCAGAATAATATGAGTTCATCTTATTTCGTTAGGTTCTCATAAGCTACTCGCAACATATGATATTAAAAATCAACGTTATTACAGATATTGACATACGTACAAGTATGAAGGTGATTAGAGATGAATATGTGTATCATATTGTTGCGAGAATTCCAATGGAGTTAATAATATCATGAAAATTTTTGTTTCGGATGGATAAAGCTTGAGAGGAAAAATTCCAGAACATTGAACTGGAGATCATAACTCATAGAGTTATCAGATATTAGATGATTGTGTATTAAAGTAACTGAATATAGATTAACTTTATTTATCTATCCGAAACAAAAAGAATTTCATGACCTTATTAACTCCATTGGAATCCTTGCTACATCATGGTACAAATGTTCATCTCTAATCACCTTCGTACTTGTATGTCAATATGTGATTTTAAAATATTATTGGTTGTAATTAGCTGATGAGAACCTAACGAAATAAGATGAACTCATATTATTCTGCACGAATTTTTGTTCTTACTCTCTTCAGTTTTTTTTTCCTCACTTTTTACATGTATGCATTTACTAAATACCACTGTAAGGGTCAAAGCATTACAAATAATGCATTATGTCTAGTTGTTCATTTCTTATGTATAAATAAATTTGTATATCTTTCTCCCATATATTTTTATGTCATGTCTAATTTACATTGTTATGGTTAAACTACCAATTGGCTATTTAGATCAAAATAAATAACATTAAAGAAACGAAGCAAACAAGATTCATACATCATATTTTTCTTTGACACTCGAACATATTAAAACAATAATATTCGCTCTTATTGACATTTAGTAACGTCAAGATTGTCAGTTTAAATAGTAGTAGTAGTAGTGTGTGTTATTGATTATTGAGTAAATAATAAATGAAAATTATTTAAATGACTTAGTTTCTTCAGGTTGGCATACTGAGATAAGGTGTTGCAAACAGTGCAATGATGAGGTCTGATTCGGCACAATCATCTAGCTAATAAGTAATAATCAATTTATATCATTATGTTACATATGGTGTGACTTATTAAGCACAACTGAAAAATAGTTATTTTCCAAAATGTTGATCTATGTTATTTAGTTATTTTAGTTATTTAGTTGCAACGTTTCATTTTTCATCTAATAGTTTCTCGTCAATATAAATAGATGCATTAATAATAATGTTGTTGTTGTTTATAAATCTTACTAGATATTTCTTTCATTATTTGACCTTAAGGTTGGCAGAATCGTGAGTCAATATAAGCGTATAGATTTTCATTTAAGTGTACAGATTTCAAGTTATTAATTTTGATTTGACGTATACTTTATCTACACGAGCTACCAGTGTAGGATGTCAATGAATCTATATGATACTTTAACATTCTTTTCACATTTTTAGCTACATTTATATTATATAGGCTTGTTTCTAGTGTAAATTTCACGCTAATAACGTAGTTTTATTGATTATTATATGAATAAACAAACAGGGTGTTATTAGTGGAGCAATGTCTCATTAGTTGAAGCGTTTGTTATCTAGATACTAAATCCTAGGTTTGAATCATGTCCCATCTATTTTAATTAGGCTAAATAGCTTTTACATTTGTAGTATCGTTCTTAACTGAGTGCATTAATCTATACCTGGTAAAGTAGCATAGTTTGCACTAAATTCTTGGATTACAATAGTTAATAGGCACAAACTTCTTGTTCTCAGTAAACAGTCATTAAAAATGGGTTACCCTTGATACTAATCATATGAGTCTAATCGATGTCACAAGTCACCCTCCATTGTAATATTTGCTTATGGTGAACTCATTTCTCTTTTTTCTCATTTAATTAAGGAGTATACAAAGCATTCCTAAGTGTTTTCTGCTTTCCTTGACAAAAGTTGATGATAATTATCATCATTTCAGCTCATATATGTAATAGTATTTTAGATTTATTTTCTGTAAACATTTTACTCATTAAGCATAGCTACTAGATAAATTTGTGGTATTTCTCTATCAACGCTCTTTTTGTTTAATTTATGTATCATATGTACTATAACAAGTGCATTGTCTTTCAGTTAGGTTAGTCATATGTGTAGTTATTGTACTATGCACTTGTTTAACATCAGTTTTCATTAAACACGTGTCTATTAAAATTTGCAAGATGAAAATTATACTGATAAATGTCCAAATATGTATATGTCTTCAACGTTTTATTCTGTAAATTCTTAAAACAAACATTTTATAGATAAACAGTAATTTAGAGATAGAGAGAAAGCAAATAATAGTTAAATTTTTATTTAATTGAAATTCACTCCCATTTTTATTTCGCCATCATTGTTTCAATAAATTGTTTCTGTAATTGCAAATATTTACCATAAGCATTACTCTCATTGTCTTTTTATCTATTTATTTACTTTCAGGGATTACATATCATATCATGGCTTCTATATGAGACCACCAACAGATTATCAGGACAATTCACAGTAAGTTACTTAATATATCTTATCTATATCAAATTGAAATACTCGCGTATATATATATATATATATATATATATATATATATATATATATATATATATATGAATGTCTGTTGTAGAGATTGATGATCAGAATGATAAAATTGGCATTTATAACTAATAAAAAAATGTATTAGTTTGTGTACTAATTTCATTCATTTTAAGAAGTGATATTTCCCGATTGTGCTATATTATAGACTATATAATTTCATTAATGTTTGGAATTACCTTTTTCGCATAAGATTCATACTTTCATACCAAGTTCATTTGATAGTTAGTGTTTTTTTGTGTTTAATAAATCCAAAGTGATTAGTGATATTTTATATGGCTCTTTTCGGATTACATTTATGATGTATCATAGTCGAGCAACTTGTACCTCGCTAAAACTACAATTTATGGGGACTTACAAAGAAATGAAATGATATTTCAGTATATTTTCAATTAATGTTTGGGTTTTCAATATTTAGATGAATTTTATGACTTACAATGTTTAAAATAATTGTTCTTAGTTTAAATTCATTTATTATTTTCTGTTGGACTCTGTTGTTTGAAGACATTCTGCGGGGTATAAATCATCCTACTAAAGGCCCTCTATTGGGACGTTCATATTTAGATCACAGCTTGTCGTTAACTTTAATTTGAATCATCTGCGTTAAGTAATCTGCTTTAAGGCTGACGCTGTCTCGATTTCATTCATCCTTTATCTTCGTCTAAATCTTGAGCCTTGTTCCTTATTTTTATTCTTTGATTTCTTTTGTTTTTTCTTCTGATGCATATGATTTTCAACTCGCTAATCATCGTGATATTTTCACTTTTTTACTGTTATCTCTTTATTTCACTATGATGTTGCAGCATAAACCACCGATCTGCATTTGTAGTAGGTCTATCTTGCTTTTCAAACTTTAGTCTTTAAGTTTTGATGCCTTGTCGAGCAACTGTTTCAATAAACTAACAGTATAATAGGCGGTGTTGGGTGGGGTAGGGGTTCAAACGGAATATATATGTCACTAAAATTGAATATGGTGCTGACAAATATTTCTGTTTTATTCTTCCACATAATAATTACCTTCAGCGCTGTATATTAATTGTGTTAAAATGTCTTTCAAATAGTTGTGTCTTTTTTAATCTATCTCATATTACTAATTACTGACTTACTAAACAGACTGACAAAATATGTATATCTTCTATCAGTAGGAATGAACTTTTCATCTTTCAGAAAAGTGAGAGACACGGAAAAAGAGAATGTGTGACGGAGAAAAGAAAGGAAATTCAAAAACTATGTTTGCTTGATTTTCTTATTCATCGTTGGGATTTTTGATTATCTGAAGTTTTTTCAGGAAAACTTTTCATTTCAATGTGAAAAGGTTTAATATTAAATACTACAAATATGTTAGTAAAAATGAATGAATAATCTTGTTGTAGTCATTTGTTCTGTTGCTGTTGTTATTCTCACTATCATTATTTCTTCCAATGTTTTTTAAATCAATTTTTGCCAACAACACAGCTGTGTAACATTATTCTTTATGAATTTATACTTTTTATATTGTTCATATATTCTGTCCATAGGTTTTCTTTGCTGACATTTATAACACGAACATATAATAATAGTAGTTAAGTGTTATTTAATATCTCATCATCAATGGTACTGATTTGTTGTTGATACCCTTGAAAGAATTTGTATTCGAGCTTTTGGCACCATAAATATTATATCTCCGGGTAAAATCTACTTTACTGTCTGGAGCAAAAAATTTCAACATTGAGTACAAAGATGATATGGTTTCTTTGTGAAATCGAACCCCAATTTCTCCTAATCAGTGTTTGTATGTTTGATGCAGCACTATCTAAATGCGGATTACTTCTTAAACCGGCAGGTTCTAACATTCACTTTATTCGGTTAGTTGTTGAAAATAGTCAAGGAGTGCATGTGTCTGTATAAGTAGTGGTGGTTCTACTGTGGACAAGGTCAGTCTACACGCCACTCTCGACCACGTTTTGCAAATCTTATCTCAGTGGCTCTCTTGATGTTATGACTTCTGCCCCTGTCAATTATCACGTGATAAAATCGCCAATCAGAATACTGGCTTGCATGTCCCTATGCTAAACCAGTAATACATCAACCAGCACTAAATCCTTATTGGTCCTCGAAATAGTAGTTTCTCGCTTAGCCCTGCCCGTTCAGTCCAGAACACAATCTCAACTTCCACTGTATAAATCGTATATTTCAGACGTACTTGGTTTATATACAAGCAGACTAGACAGCATCACACCATAAAGTGCAAAATAATGGCTTTATAGGATTGAGCCAGAAGTGGCTATGAGTTTAGGAGACTGTAGCTAATAAACTGGGAATAGATTAAGAATGGCAAATCGTATAACAGTAGCCAATCGGTCATATGAAAGCTTATGATAAGAGGAAAATGAGTATACATATAATCTAGTTAATTAATAGTCACTCAACAAGAATATATGTAATAATAGTCCCTAAATAATCCTCATCAGTTACCATTCATTTATTCTTCGTTCGGATATAACACTTACTATGAATTATTTTCCCACATTAAGGTGTTGTGATAAAAGTGAATAGGTGACCATTTTGTGGCATGGAACTTGATATGCAAAATAACTTTAGAATTGACATGTCTGCCCGTCACGACTTCTATATATCAACGAGTTTCTTTAAGCTATTCAGCTTAGTGTTATAAATAAATACACCTGTTGTATCTTAAACTTTTGTTGACGTCTATAATTGAAATTGGTTAATACGGTAACGTCACATGTCTATATATCACGTTAGTGATTACTACCAGATAACCTGAAAATAATATTTCAGCTGAACGTGAAAATATTTTAACATGCTAAAAATTTATTGATCTGTATTCTCTGTTCATCTGTCTGTCTATCCGTAGCTACTTGTTTATTGACGTTTATACTTTATTTACCAATTTATTCAATATTATCGGTTTAGTGTGTATGTGTGTGTTACGGATGCAGTGATAAAGTCAATCAAAAACTTCTTGATTCATTATTTCTATTATGCTCATTTTTGACTTGGTCTTTGTCTTATTATTCATTATATAATTAAAGATAAGGTAATAATTATACGCGTATTAAATCAGTATATATATATATATATATATATATATATATATATATATATATGTGTACATGTTGCAAATTGACAATTCTCCAATATTTTTTTATCAATATTATTATTGTTATTATGATTGCGATCGTTATTTTAATCACTATTATTCCTATTTTCAATAAAGGAAACCCCGAAACAAATCTCGTAAACATAAAGGTATGAATGAGTCATTAATTTCTCTTCTATTTTTCCCTGTTTTTGATTTATAGTATACACACTGTTTTCTATTGCATGCTGTCATATTGAACTCGGGAATGTCCCGTCTTTTATTTGTTTTACATAAATGTATATCAATGTTATATATGTGTCCAGTATAGACATATTTACACATGTCTGTGAATGTTGTTTTTCGTTATTCTTGTTATACTATCTTACTACTTTAACTGTCATTGTCATTGATTTTCATTTTAATCTTATCACTTTTCCAACATGGTTGTTTTTAAAGCAATTAGTTGTTTTGGTTGTTTTTCCCAAAACTATACTGATATGATTTTCGTTCCATATACGTTATGCTTGTAGAGGATGACGGGGAGTGGGTTGGACATAGTAAAATATTTGGTAATGTCGACCATGATTGTGTTGGTTTTTCACTTTTCAGTTTTGCTCACACTTACATATTTCTTTTAAAAAATTTTGTATTCAGTGCAGTTTAAGTGTTATTTATAAATTTTTGACTGAAATTGTCAGTATTTATGTATATCAACATTTCTATGTATCAATTACGCGTATATTTGTGTTTTCAAGCCAGAAAAAAGACAAATTTCTGTCCGGCTAAGTTAAATAATAGTTGTAGATCGACAGGCACAAAATCGATCCAATATTTTCTAGTCATTCTGGTTCATGTTCAAATCTCTCTTCGTCTACTTCATTTTGTTCAATCTTGTAGCAACAAAAGCCAAGTACACTAATATGGTACCTGGTAAATAAGTTAAATAACACTACTATGTTCCTAATATTTATAGTAAGAGTGTGTTAATTGTGTACTAATAATATTCTAGTGAACTGACTTATTATAATGCTTTTTTCTTGTTGTGTAATTGAACTTACTATCTAATATAAAATACGTCTTCGAAAAATTTTTATATGGTTACATAATTTAATTCGTATCACTATGTATTTATCTCTTGGTTTTATCTCATTTATCTGAAGTTTTAAATACAATTATATGTTGTTTTAGTTAATGAAGAAAACTCTCCTCATAATATAAGTTTAGATACTGAATCAAGTATGTTGTAAATGTTATTCTTCCTTAATATATACTATTGAATTTTATATTACTTTAAGAGGATTACATCAAATAAATTCATCATCTTGTGAAATAAAATGTTCTGTGTTCTGTAGGGAATATTAAAATAAGTTAAAGATAATAATGACATTTGAAAAACAAATATAGTTAGGAAGTCAATAAGAAATAATATAAATATTTTCAATAGTTAGTCTTCGTTGTAGTAGTAGTAGTAGTATTTAATACCTTAACAATTTTTTTCCTTTTACACTCCTTACCAACCATAACACCGTTGTATGTGCAGTGTTAATAACGACACATCTTCAGTTGCACACTTGTTGAATGTCAATAAAATATCAACATTTTTGGTTTCCCTACAGCAAATTCTGTTTATGAATAATTAAGGATTTTTGTAATACGAATCAAAGAATATGTGCTCGAATAAATCGAATGTCTGTCACATAACAACATATCAACATTAATTATCCACAGGCTTATAGAGGAAATGGAACTTTCAGGATAACTTTATGTTCCGTGCATATGTAAAATTCAAAATGGAACAACTCTATCTATTCAGTAGCATTCAATAATCTTGAGGTACGTAACAAACCAAACTAGACGTGGTGACAATCAATCAGGTAGCAACAAATCTTATTGCGGAAATATAAATTAGCGAATTTCATAGTGGTTATCCTTTAAAAAAAGAACTAACATGTAATAATAGAAAACTACATAATCTGATCTCTTTTTGGTAACACTTAACTAATACTCACTAAAAGAATGTATCACTATTACGACTTTATTCACTCCTCAATCGGTATATCTTTTATGATATCTGTTATTTCTTTTCTAACTTACTGACGATCAGTTAGTGTCTTACTACCACCTTTGTCTAATAACTTCTCATTTATAAAGTATAAATATCTGTCGAAACTTAGTCTCCAAGTATCTGTTTGTTTAGTTAACTCCAAGCTATAATATTTTGTTTAAGCGTTAATAATACTTCGAGGTTGCCGAATCTGAAAAGGGTTTCAACTGTCAACTTCGTTTTTGTTAGTTAAGTGGGGTTAATCAACACTCTACAGCGTTAAAATAAGTTTCATCTTTTCATTAAAAAGTCTTGAAGTACGTGCTGATTCAAATTCAGCTAAAGGCAATGCAACCTGTATTTCTAGACAATTATTCGACTTGATCTCTAAAAACTTTAAATATAATTCCTCAGTCGTGTTTGCAGCATGTTCAACTGATCAACCCCAACAAGGCACCAAACAAGCTTATGCGAACCACTGACAGTCTCAATTGCAGCACAAAAGTAATTTTGGCACAAATTACCTTTACACTTCAAACCACGTGATACATTTTCTGCCTTAAGCAAGAGGAGAACGTAAAATGGTTTATTTGTGCTCAATCTATAATCAAAGGGTGACTAACAAATGATTTGAATTTAATGTGAATAGTGCAGCTGCAGAAAAATAATTTCAGTGAAAAGTGGAGGATCACATGAAATAACACAAACCTATCACCGTTTTACCAGCGTTGGGAATAAAGGATCCCAAATAATTTTGTCGGGGATAGGTCATAGGCGGGACAAGTATTAAGTCCTACACCGAGGTTCTAATTCCGTTGACTTTCTTCAGTGTGCTCTGACATTTAATTATGTTTTTTATTTGAAGTTTGTTTTTATTAGCTTCATTCAACATTATATTTTTGGTACAATACAGAATTCTCAGTACAAAGTATTCAAACAAGTTTCCGTTTCTTACTTCTTGGTCGGTACTGACGATAAATATTAAGTGATCGCCAATTAGGTTGTAACTTGTACAACGAAAGATCGTACACTTTTAAGAAACGCACCTGAATAGGTTATGCGAATAATAGGCATAATGATGTATTTGTTATAACTTGTGCTCTACTAAGTTCTAACTTAATGATACCACCAATTAGAGCAAGGAAATTTATCGACCGAACCAATGACTCGTAAACCCGTACGAGCAGTCTAGATTCCTTATCGGCCTTTCTTCCTGCCTAGCCCTGTCTGTTAAGTCCAGAACACCAATCTCAGCCTCTGCGATATGAATCATTTATTTCAATCACACTGAGTCATATACAAACGAAACAGAACACATCGTACCATAAAATAGGAAACATTTTCTGTTAATGTCGTGTATATAAGCATGTAATTTCACCGAAGAGAATACCTATTCTGCGGGCTAGTGTTTTTTCTTCTGATATCAATTGATTGGGAGCTATCACTGCATTTCATCTATCGGTCGATATTCTTCTCACTTATTTTATCAACTATGACCATCGTGTGCTTGCTAATTCCTATTTTATAACATAACTCGCAACAGTAAATTGTAGTTGTTTACAAACTTGTGACTATTGTATATGCTCAGTTTTTTGATAACTTTGCTTTCCTACTTAGATTAACATATTTTTCTAAACATTTGAAAGTAACTGGAACAGGTTTTATAGAGTTTTATCATAACACCTTGTAGTAACTTCCATATTTTTGAAAGGCTCCACACAATCTCGTTAGTATCTTTGTGTATTAAGTTGGTTTTTGAGAAGCCTAAATTAACATTTGAATTTGATTGGCAATCAATTTCTGCCCATAAACAGGAAGTCTTCAGGATTTTTTCATCCCTGTCTTATTTTTCAAAGAATATCCATCGTCATAAGCTGCATATATATTTATATTACTTTCCAGTAATTTTCTTCGTTTGTATGCGTGTGTATGGATGCATTTAACAGCTGAATACGGACGTTACTTGTTTATGAATGCTTTAGTTTTTTGGCAATATAACATTTCCATTGAATTTCTAATTGATTAACCAACTCACTTTATATATATATATATATATATATATATATATATATATATATATATATATATATAATTCTGACGTTGCTACTTTTGTTCCCGTCATCTCACCGATTTCAATCTTTTACGCACCGACTGTTCACTCCGTATTTTTACACTAACCCACTGGCATACCTATGTTCTCTTTTATTTTTCTTCAAGTTGCTTCTGTATTATATTATCACTATCGTTTTCGATCATTCAATTTCTCCGTACTTTTATAATCACAGAGTCATTTACATTTTTTATCATCTGTATAGGTTATGTGGCTGTTCCGAATCCAGGAGCATAAAAGGTACACAACAGTTTCGAGAAGTTCATATTTTTACAAAAACAAAATGTAGTGTTTTTCTTTGGTATCAGCTATGCACCCTCACCTTCCGAGTGTATTAACTTTACTTTTTTTATGGTGATGTAAACAATTAACTATAAACAACTAATGTTATTTTCTTACGAAGTTAGCAAATCTCTTTTTGTTACAATACGCCTAATTGGTTTGCCTGTATGCCCAAACAGCTGTATTTAACGCTCAGATATTTGCTACATATTGTGGGTTTACATAATTACCAATGGCTTACCATATGTTCTCCAAATTGTTTCCCGTTTATCGCTCAACTATGTATGCTTATGTATCATAACGATCCATCTATCTACCAGCTACCGTTCATTTATGATTTTCTTAAAACAGTCAAATAACTGATAACAAGTAGAACGAGGCAGTTTAATACTTTCCTCAGTATATGGCGGGCATGGTTAATCATATGTATGTAATGGTTAATACATTGTGAGTAGTACAACTCAACATTCAGGCAAAAGTCTGCACGCCGAACTATGATTTACATATTGTATGATGATCTTAGATTAATTGTGAACCTTTTGTATTCCGATAGGATTTTAGAGCATCAGTACTGTGCTTCATTTTCAGACGTTATTAACATATAGGAATTATCATTTCATAATGTCACAGTAATTATCATCACTTCATTTAAAGCTATAAGCTAACATATCTTTCATCTGATAACAAAATACGATAGTTCATATTCCTAAATGTTGATTAAAAATGTTATCGTTCATAGATATAATGTAAATACTATTATTCGCTAGTCATGAACTACATTCTATGATCATTTGAGAATTGTAATAATGGTTCAAGCGAATGTTTGTCACTTACTAATTTAAACTGGGGCCCATGCACACCATTGGTTGAGAATCAGGGTTTTCCAACTTCCCTAGGTGGGTTCCCCATATCCACTGAACCGGTTATAGCGCCGGACATTCGCTTTTCGTCCTCTCAATTTCGTAAACAACAGCCCCACCGCGGTAAGATAGTGAGTAGGACTTCCCTGGCAGTGGTTGTATGCACGTGGTCATGTGAGAGCATTTCGAGTGGAAGAGCTGACTTTGCCCACCCTCGGCCGTACCGGGGGGGGGGACTAGATACTTTTAAGTCATAAAATAGGAATCTAGTTGTTTAACTTTCCTGCTCCCTTATAAATATCAAAACAAATGGTAATATTAGTTTGTCAGTAAAATTTAACGGCGTATAATCCTTCACAAGTGAGGAAGCTTTTGCTTCCTCTTGAACTTTATCATACAAATTTTCAGTTTGCCACTTTTTATTTCGAATGTAATCTAACGTCTCAAAATTATGGATATAATGAGCTTTTAATTTCATTCCACTTTCATCTTGTGGCTGGCAGCAATAAACACTTATTTAATGTAGTAGCTCATTTTGAACATAGCTCGAAACACTTCTTCGTGTTTTCTCCTAACAATTCGTATCACTTACTTTACGTACGTCTGTCACCCTTCCTGGCCTATAAGCTGTAGACCAGAAACCACCAATTCTATCCTGGGATTTTCTTTCCAGTTGTTGACAAATAGTACTTACTTGTTTGATTTCTGCCTCCAATTACCGGTGCAATATTTCCTTTGGTTTTTACCTTGAGTATTTCAAGTTATGGCTTGCCTCGTGATGAAGTTTGATGATTTCCACAGTGTTTTCTATCCACCTCAAAAATATTTTCAGCTGGTTTATTCTTCGTCATAGTAGGTTATGGCTGATAGTGTCTGATCAATAGATCTCGAGTATCTTGTGTAGACAATTGTTTATGAATACCTGTACACTTTTTTTGATGATGATTCTCCTAATTTTAGCTCCTTACTATAGAACTGTTTTAACATTATTTTTGAAAATTCTGACTTTGAAGTTAACGGACACTTGTTTTGATTTCCAGGAGTTCTTTTTTTGTAGAAATGCTGCCCTCCATATCTGCATTAAATTTCCCTTACTTATCGATGATACTCCCGTGGTATTTAGAGGCTTTTATCTCTTTCAGAGCTTCACCATCAAGTGTGATTAGGTCGATGCTGGCTGCATATTTTCAGGATTTTGCTTTTTCCTCGTTAATGTTGAGGCCTACTGCTGCTGCTCTAGCTGTCTTCACTTGCATTTATTGCCGTGTATGCGATCGGAGATTTAAGTCGTCTGTTAATTTGGAATTATGTAGCTGTATCCAAGCTGTATAATGTATTCCATGTTGCCTCTGAGATGTGGAGGTCTTCATAATTCAACCAGCCAGCAGAAGGAGGAAAGAAAGCAAGAGTAAACAGCCTCGTTTAACACTAGTCTACACTTGTAATGCATTTATAAGCTGCCCTCCGTGCACGACCTTGCACTGTGGTCCGTCGTAGGAATTACTACAGGATTTGAATCGACCACTGCATCTGTGTGCTAATGTGGTGTGGCAACTCGAACTGACGTACGTACGTACGAAGTTCTACGTTGCTACTGACTGACTGAGGTACACCAGGGTCGAAGATTCCATAAGGTTCTCCTATCCATACTGTCAAATGCTTTCTCATAGTCAAGGAATTTGATGTATAGTGACGAATTCTATTCCGTTGATTGCTCAACGATGATTTGTAATGTCATGATTCGGTCTGTGCATGATCGATCCTTAATGATTTCTTCGATTGTGAGTGGAGTGTCATCTATAGGAAGGTCTTTGTGTGTTGCTTCGATGTCCAGTGGGTTCAGTAGGGCTGTGGTTTCACTTGACTTAATCAGAGAGAGGTTTTGTCTTCTCATTTCCGCAGTTACTTGAGTGATCCTCCTGATCTCTCACATTGTGCGGGCATTCCATTACGTACATCAATTTTTGCTGTATTAGTCAAAAAGAGGAATCGACCTGGTTACCTCCGAATTATATCTGCTTTTAGCATAAGGCGTCATGACTGTTCTAATTGAAGACCCTTCAACTCTAAGTGTAGAGTTTAAAATGATTTTTTCCTGTTTTTAATACATTGTTTTAATAATGAAAATTAACTAACTAGCTTTGCACGGCTTTTCCACTTACAGATTTACTCATTACTTGGTGTGTTTATGTTCACTGCCTAAAATATAGTAGAATTAGTAAAAATATTCTTACGCTTTTCAAATATAAACTAGTTATGCTAAGGACAATGTTTTAAACCCATGTTCACTTGGACTGATTAAGAAAATAGAATGAAGAGAAACAGCCCATAACGTTGAAAATTTTAATTACTGGGTTTGCTGATCATGTGGTCGAATCTTGTGTTAAATATTGGTGACCGTTTAACTTTTGATAAACGTATCATTTATCAACCAAATCAATGTTATTTAACTTTTATTCCTCACTAGTAGTTGTCCAGTTTTGTATATCTCTGTTCGTTCATCAGCAATGATTTTCTTAAAATTTCTTTCAAAGTTCTTTGATTCTTACTTTGTTTGTATGTTTTTACTACACAATGCACTAAAATGCTTTAGCTTTTGTCTTTTCCTAATCCTTATGTAGACGAATATTACTTTGAGGAAATTTGTGGGTATATTTTTAACTGCTTCATACGTGCTTACTTACTCCTTGCAACGTAATGTCTTTTTTAACCTGATAGTAATGAAGCATTTTGATAATTTAACCAAGTTAATTTGACATCCTTGCAAATAGTTATATTCACGAAAACATCATTTTCATGTAATGTCATCTACTAATTTTCTTGATGATTTATATGAATACCAAGTATTTATAATATTCATATTCACTATAACATAGTCAAATCCACAACAACACATGTTTTATACGATTAAATGCTGAAAATGTATTATCATTATTTCCGCATAATATTAATTACGTAATATCTGTCACTGGTAGCTATGAAATTAAAATACAACTTGAATGAAGATATATTTCTTCTAATTTGATTCCTCCTCATAATTCTACGCTAATATATGCGTTTATATTTAAGTATAAATTTTGGTTGACCAACTTAACTCTACATCTCAATGTTAATTTAGTAGTAGCTCAATAAACGCGAAATTAAAACTAAAACTTGATTACATAGTCGATTAATTATTGCAACTAACTACGTAAGAATAAGAATAGAAATCAGGTAAGTTGGAATTTAAACGAACATAAGTATTTATTTGAACGTTTAGAAATAATTAAAAACGGGTCCCAAAGGATTTCATTAATCAGATTAACAAAATACAGTACGTAAGAATAAAGTTAGAAAATGATGTTAAATAAATTTTATAAGGCGTAATTAAGTGAAAGACTAGGATACATAAAAAGGCTGCACAAATTTTTTTTTATGTACAATAAAACTAAGTTTATTTGTGTATATTCTAATGGAAGTCTAGTTTGTGTATGAGATGATTTCTGAATAAGTTCGACAAGACTTTTTGAATAACTTTGAGTCCATGAAATGACTATTATCAACCATTAAATACACCAGATTAGAGTTTCTTGTGAAATCAATAGTTCTTGGAATCATAAACGTTTTCCATGAACAAGTCCAAATCGAATGTAGTGTTTTATTTGTTTAATTTAACGCAATTATTAATCATAATAATGTTTTTAATTTGCTAATAGCAAAATGTTGACTTTTTTTGTTTATTTCTCTTTCCAAATTGCAATTTCATTTTATTGTAGTAAAAAGTCAATCCAATGGATCTAGCGCACGGAATTCCCATTCACGTTATCAACAATTATCTGTTTATCCATATGATGCCTATGAGTAGTATAGTGTTGGTAATCATAATAGTCGTTGTAGGTTCATAAATCATAACAATCCTTCAACTCCTTTACACAATAATTACTACGCATACAGAATAAAATTGCTCTTGTTCCTTTTGTACACCTTTGGAAACAAAAAAAAATTAATAAAGATTCATTCCCCATTAATATTATGCACTAATTAATTGCTTTTGTGTTAATCATCATAATCACATATTAATATTTGGTCATCAGTTTCTTTCCTCTTCCTCCCTCTTTTCCTGCTATTCTCTCTGATCCATAATTGTGATTAGTAAATATCACCAAAAAAAAACGATCTGTATATTATATTTCATGTTAATCTATTCAAATTCCATTCTTCTTTTTATTAAAACAAAATATAGTGTCCATTTATTGTTGAATTTATTTTCTCACATATGTTAACAAAACCATTTAGTGTTGTCTTCATTTTTATCTGCGTTCAGGAATTTTTAGCTTAGTGTTCTGTTGATTTTTGAATTCATTTTTCCTACTTATATTGTCGCTGTTGTTAGCATATATTTGATAGAATTCACATACACAACATATTGAATAAAGCCATTAATAATAATAATAATAATAAGTGATTAATAGTAGATGCATGTTTGTACATGTGTGTACTTGATTTCCTTTTATGTATTTATTATTCAATTTTCTTGTTTGTTTGTTTGTGTGTATCGCTCATAATTTAACTTTATACTGTTCTTCGTTTCGCTGTATAAGTCTATGTATATGTTTATCATCTGAATTCCTCTTTTTGGCTTATGTTTATATTCTTACTGTTGTCAATTTTTTTTCTTTTTTCTACCTGCTTCACCTTTCTGAAATTATAAATAATTAATTCTGCTGGGTTTTTTTTATTTTTAACCAACATAAGAAGTTATCTTCTTTATATTTCCATATTGTTTGGATTAAAAAGTCTTTAAAGTAATACTATTAGTTTTCATTAAATTTTTCTGTGTAAATTTCTCTCTGTATGTAAGTTTTTTTTCGGGAAGGTGTAGGAGTTTGTTAGTAGAAGATTTCATCAAAAAGAAGCAAACAAATAAATTTGAACTAACTTATTTGTAAGGAAAGAAACAACACACAAACTCTGCACATTGAATGATTTTCTTTTAAAGATACCATCAGAATTTATACAGAATACAATTGTTTATTACATTCTATTTGGTAATAGTTGTACAAGATGAGGAAAGTTTTTTCTAAAAATGAACTGATTAAACAATACTTCATTGTTCCTCATCTTGTCTTTTTTTTAATTGAAGGGAATTTTTTCATGTTTCTCATTTGTTTAATACGTTTTATCATAACTAAATTAATAAATTGATTAAAATTACTACTGCTTATATCCCCTTGCTAAATAAATTAATTATTTAGGTATTTAAGTGGAATTAGTTAGTCAGCACTTCTGATAATCTCAATATTGATATTATAAGTGATTCGCCATGTAAATATGTTTATGACCTAGTTCAATTTTGAACTATATTTTATGTGTAAAGAAAATGTCTTGTTATTTGGCTACCTGCATGCGAAATCGTTGGAATCGCATCCAAATTTATGATGTGATAGGGTAGGAAATCAAATGTTTCTTTAAATAATAATAACTGGATCACCAAGTACTATCTGGTTACCTAATTCGAAGTAGGTAGGATGGGATTCGAACGTACAACCTACTGGTTGGAATCTGATTGGTTTCATTAATAAACCACCAATTCTATATAAATTGTATGTGTAATAACATGCTACAAGATGATTTCTCGGCTTTCTTTATCATATGTTTTCAATTGTGATTGATGAGCTTATGTGTTTCTAGAGTGCAAATTTAAAAAAAAAAGATTCTATACAAAATAGAAATCAATATATTCCCGATATAATTATTGAGTGCATACCAATTTACGGACGTTACCAGATTAATACAAAAAAACAGTATTACATGTAATAGCCAGAGATATTGGGTCAAATTCTTTGGAATGATATGATCCATTAGTTGTTTTAGGAGGATTACAACAATAAAAGGCAACAGTTGGGAACCATGAGTTCTTATCAGGGAGATCATAACATTCTATTGGTGTATTAATGTTATGCAAAAAGTCATTCTTAGTGCTATTACAAAGTAATTCTAGTCATCTACAACCACAGCAAAATGTAATATGATAGGTTTGCCGTAATGCAAGTGTTAAGTTGTTATCTAATCTACTGATTTAATTAGATATCAGTTAAATTAACGTGAGGCATAAAATATTTCCGCAGAGGTAATTTTGTTACGCTTTGTAAAAACAATCGGTGATTTACGCTGATTGATACTATATTTTACATATTATCTTGTAATATACGTACAGTTAACTGATCCAAATCTTTAAAATTGAGAGTTTAGTAGTTAGCTATAAAAGATGAACAATAGAAATAATTAAATTTTATCAAATGAATCGTATAAGTGATGACATACCCATCGATTGTGGAATGAACCATTATCAATTAATTGTTAGTCCTGTGATAGTGTTGTCATATGATAAATAGTTTTTGACTCAGTACAATGATTAATGATGAACTTTATTGTTTTTTATTATAAAACATCTAAATTAATTAAATACCGATTGATTAGTGAAATTTCATATGATATTAAATTACACTTTGTTGATCAAATCTAATTGTATTGTTGAGTACATCAAAATTACGCGCTTATGAACTATGACCAGTTATTCAGATATTGAGGATATCATAAAAGAGTAATCTTCATAGTATAGAGGAAAGAGCCACCGATCTGTAGCTTGACGGTTCGCTGCGTCCACCTCCTTTGAAAATTGGTGTGGTGTGAGCCAGATTCTAAATTTCCGATAATGTGCCTCGGCTTAACGAGTGTGGGAACATCACGCTAAGCGGTGTTGTCAAGATTGAAGCTGCTTCCTTCAGTATGTCAGAATGGACCATATCCGAACCAAGAGAAATGTCTGATTGTTAGGTGCTGCAGTTTCCTGTACACCAAGTCAGCGTTCAGGTTCACTTCGAAAATTCCTATGCATTTGCAGATAAAGCTTTCATCAATACGGTTAATGTGGGTCGGTTGAAATGTCCGAGAGTATTGTTCGGCTAGAAAGTTAGCGGCATCCCCGTCGTTATTGGTCGGGCCATTAGGACCTAGTAGTTGGGAAACTCCAGTTTCGGTTTATCGAAAGAGACTGCATAACGGATTAAGCTTTTCGGATTGAAGACATATTCATCGACAAGCTTTATCTATTATTGAAGCCTGTCTTCTCTTTTTGCCTTAGGGCATATTTTACTTATATGCTTGTATTGCGTGTATGCGCCGTTGTTACCAGTTCGTTCGTATTCCGTGCAACAGTGTCTTTTGCGGCATAGCAATTGAAAAGTCTGGTTCTTGATGACTGTAGGTTGCTTGTAGATTTTGGGGACCATTTGAGGAATAAACTTCCTTGTATCATATAAAATCGTGTGCAGTAAGAAATCCCAATGAGCATCCGTATCAAATTGAGGGTGAACTGGTACGTTTGAAGCCCTTGAGCTAATCGGCTCGTACAACCGTGTAAAATATGTTTCTCTCATGATTAATGGGTGCAATACAAGTGAACGCGGCTTCCGACATAACACACCAGAACATAGTGGGATGTTTGAAGACCCCAAGTCTCTTCAGCTCAACAGTCACCCCATAGTGCTTCGGGTAGAAAGCTAGATATTGTTGGTGAAATACATTGTAAAGACACGGCAATGACCATAACGGAGGAGGTCATATCGTATATTGCAAAACGCTCACCAATCAATTTATTGGGTTTGGATTGGATTGAGATGTTAAGGTTGGCAGATAGTCCCATAAACCTAATCTGCAATCACAACGGGACTATGGGAGACAACCACAAAAACTTAATAGACGCATTATTAAGCAGAAATAAAAAATATTTGGTGCTGGTCATGGATAATGTATGAGAGAGACTTCATGGAGATTTTGTGGATCCAGCATAAGAGTCATGTTTCTAGTTATCATGTATGTATTTACAAAGAAGTCGGAAGTATATATTATGCTGAACTGTATAGTTAGAGAGACTATCAAAAAGTTGTTCACTTTGTTTAACTGTTTCGAGGTCCCAGAGACATTAATGACAGATAATGGCTCTCATTTAACCTTTGACGCATTCAGGTAATTGTATGATATAAATGGAATAACTCACTAATGTTCTTCACCCTATCATCTTCAGTCTAACGGACATGGTGAACGCTACATGGACACCTTCAAAAGAGTCAAGCAGCTAACAAGCTTTCGGTCTTTTTAGAGAATCACTTTTAATCCTGTTATACCAGAAGGGGAGTCACCAGTTGAAGCCATGTTTGGGAGAAATAAACGGACGATTTCTAACCCTACGCTACTACTGAAAAAGTGGATTGCCACAGGAAAAGTAGTTATACTTGCAATTATAACATGGTGAAAAAGGTATTCATCAAATCATACCGGCGTCGAAAGCTGTGGAAAGCATGGATAATTGTACAAAATATTGACAAGTTTTTGTACATGGATAAGCTACACGAACCAAGTTCATTAAGATAGAAGGACGATGAAAATTAGTGGGGGACAAGTGAGTCGTTCACTAGAAATACGTACGGACTATTACAAAGTGAAAGCTTCGAATGAGAACGAAAGCAACTAAGTAAAAAAGATGGGGAACACCGCCACAGACGAGCCATCAGGTTTAAAGTAAAACCGAGAAAGAAGTCATATATTTCATCAGAGAGGGGCGTTGGAGGTGTCCCAAAATATCCCTCGATTAGTCATTAGAGGCTCAGGAACCCTAGAGAACATTTTAATCAGTCGACGTTGAATAGAACCATCGCAGAAACATATAGAAAATTCAGAGTGTTGTGGTACAGGTTTATTGGGATAACTCCCTATGCAATTATTGTAGTTAGTATGGTTCCGAAAGATCCCAGAAGCTCAATGCTATCTGTAACGGTATAAATACTGTTATCTGTCTGTCCGTTAACTAGCTTTAGAGTAAAGAGTCCTTTTCACTTTTCGCTCTGTAGCGGTAAATAAATTCCCAAAATAAATACCTCTGTAAGTTTTCGACATTGGATGCTGACCACATTAGTTTTAATGAACTCACCTAGCTGGAGGTGCTCAGTCATGCATCCGCACCAGATCCCGAGTGGGAACGCCGTGCTCAACATCTACTGCAATCGCTAGCCAGATTAGGTCAGACGATTCTCGATATATTGATAGTCAACAAATATATCTTCCAAGCTCCTCGATTCTGTCTTTTGACTTCACCTGATGAATGTGATTCATATTAGGTATTACTGGTTAAAGCGTTGTCAAACTCCGAATACCTGTGGCATCTTCATTGGTGAGCCCAACTTGATCTGGTACACCAAATTGCCTTATTTTAATTTTTTATACATTGTGATATTTTTTTCGTGTTTTTGGATATATATATTTTTCACTCGTTCATTCTCGTACTTGATATTTCACTATGACTGAACAGACACCCAAGATACTTAAGCTAAAATCTATGTCCCCACCTTCGTTCCAACTGATGCCCTTCTGGCCAGACAACATCAAAGCCTGGTTCTGCTACGCAGAGGCTGACTTCCACGAGCACGGCGTGAACAACACACGTGCACAATTCCTCGCAGTAGTCAAGGCACCACCGCTAGAATTCAACAGGTACGTCACACCTAGTATGTTTACTAGTGATATTTCTGCACCCTACGAAGCGCTGAAACGTTCTATCCTTAAACGCGGAGACCTAACCGATTGATAAAGGTTAGACTAACTCCTCAATAACATCGACCTGCAACACGGTTCTATGACAGACATGTTGCTAAGAATGAGGGAGGTGATTGGTCGAAGGACTTTCGATGATGGCCTATTCAGACGACGTTTCTTATCTAAGCTTCCTCAACCGGTGCAAGCTATGCTAGTCTCGTTTCAAAACAATGCCTTAGACGGGCTGGCTGCATCTGCCGACCGCATCTTAGAAATCACCAGATCTTCTGATGCCGGCGTTTTTTTCAGTCAAAGAAAAGCCTCAAACGACCCGGAATTATGAAGTACCCTTACACGTTATCTTAAATTTCGTAAAGACCGTAAACGGTCACACACCCCACGACAATGGTTCCAGGGTTTACATTACGTACCTCTTTCCAAGAAGTCTTACTTTAGCATTCTTCCAGTCTTTGGGTAACTTGCATTGAGTTTCAGGCAAACAAGAAGTATACTCAAGGGATTGATAATAAAGTATCCTCGTCCACTTAACAATCTAGGATGGACTCCATCAGGTTCCATAGAACTACCTGTATCAAGTTTATTTAATAGGCCAAGCATTGACTACTTTGATGGTCGCACCGTCTAAAGTGTGGATGGTGGGAAGTACACAAAAAGGAAAGAGCTCGTGGTGGTTATGGTTCTAACCACGCTACCCTCAAAGCTGGAATATGATAACTGAAAAAATTCACACTCAACATTCAACTTGGGGAGAAAGTCAAAAATGGTGAACGCGGGAACAATAGATTGGAATGACATGACATGGTTATACAGGCGTGATCAGTCTATGTACTCTCTTGCATTTTATATTAAATATATTACTCTCTTCTTAGCCCGAATGTATTTTTTAGGATTTATAAACACCATATCGCTGATTGTCAAGGTAGTGTCAGCCATTGTGGACTGTGGTGTGGCTTCCACATAAGGTTTTATGGATTAGGTAGTCACATCATGACAAATCTACAGTTTTGCGGTTGGGTCTATTTTCATAGTAGCGAAGATAGATGTACTAGTATTGAACTATACCACAATTCTACAGGTTGTTCTGGAGCATACACATTGCCAAAGTACTCTAAAAGCACCTGAGCTCTGCTAAAGTTGTCCTCTACTGGTGACACAGTACCACATAATATACGAAAATGAGCGTTCTATGTATTCTACATACTTATTAACAAGTTTTTCTTCACATTTTCCTATATACCTGCGTAAAGTTGAGACAAAATATTTTGGTCTTTTCAGTAGTGGGATTTTGTTTCATCTATACTCAGCAATCTAAATCCCTCATACTTACGTCTACTTTTACGGAGAAGGGTACGAGCCTACTTACTGAACCACAGTGAGGAGTTTCTCGGATTCCATAGTATAGAATATGAAAAAAAGTGTTTTAATGATTATATACAAATTCTTAAGAACCTATCAGTTCGTTTCTCCGTGGAATTATAGTCCTACAGAGCAATCTGTCCAGAACTCTGTGTTTCGTTTCCTGTATACTTCGATTCTAACCATTTAGTTAGTTACTATTCTGTCACCAACTTTGATGTTTTCTGCAATTATTTTTGAATGTAAAATTATTGAATGTCATGATAGGACAAGTTAGCTTAGACAGTGACTTAGCTTCGACTTGAGACTTTAGAGATCAGGTAGTCTTATCATGGAAAGTTCACAATATTGGATTGAATCTGTTACTCTGGTAGCATAGATAAATCCACTGTTACCTGCGTAGATCTAAATCTTACGAAAATACTTACTTTCAACTTTGACCAGCCTTTGATTTCATAACTACGATTAAGGAATCTGGCTGTTCTCTCGTTAATATATGCCCTTTTTTACCCTGAAATTGTTCTTTCTAATCAGTTTTCTCTAAAGTTGCATTAAACATTGAGTCACATCCAATTTGATAGCCTGAAATTTTTGGCAGTTTTGATGATCAGGTCATGTTTTTTGTATACTTGAGGTGACTGCATATCGACTTGTGTGTGAATAGAACAAGCATCAAGAGACTCATATTGGATGATGCCAGCGGAGTAGGGCTTGTTGATACAATTTTCAGCCACGTTTATCATTGCAACAGCATCTGGTAGCCATTGTATCCGAGCAGTACTGATAGCAAAACAAGTTAAAAAGCATAACATACAGAAAGACTATTGAAACAGTTAAGTTACAGATGCCAAAACATTTTTTGAATAAAGGAGTTATTCTTGATAATACTTTGACAGAAGTTCATTCGACTTAGAGTTGCTAGAAATTTCACTGAAATAGAAAGGATATTCGAAAGTTTTATCGCAGTAAAATAAATCTAGGACTGAATTAGACTGACCTAATCTGCATTACTCCCAAATTGATTCAAACTGTCCTGGGTGTCAGCTAATTAGCGTGTGTAAAGTATATATTCATCAGTAATAATAATGGAATATTATTACTAGATAAGGAGATAGACAGGCAACCAAGCAAGGGGATTTTAAAAGGATTCACACACAAGGCATTCGAATTGGTAAGGCTACAGAGTACAAGTTAATCAACAGAACCGAAGTCATGCATTTTATAGTCACATGGTCTATTAGACATCGTGTTAGAAAATGAGTATACATTTGTTCACACTTAACACATTTGTATTATATACCTTGTACGGTTATCAAGAGTTATCGAGCACCGAATATCTGTGATATCTTCAAGTCGGAGAGAGCAAATTTTCGAGCAAAAACCAAACATATCATTTCTACTGCCGTCTAGACCCAGCTCTTTCTTAAAATGTTTGGTACTGTTTCGGGGAGAAAATTGCAAATGTAAATTAAATTTACCTCCAAAAATTCATTCACGAGATTAGACGTCCTCAGGAATGACCGATCTTAGGTAAGGTGGATTCAAAAAAGTTTAATTCGAGTAGTAGTCCTCCCAACATCCCCTTGGAAAACAGTTTTTAGTGGGGCTTTACAAGTACACTGATTTACTTATTTCTGTCTGTATCTGAAATCATCGAACTTCCAAGTGTCGTCAAATCTTGAATGCTACTTGATCAGATGAATCGAACTATGGATAAAAGTATCAAAGGTTGATAATGTGAGAGCACTCGTGTTGTTCAGCTCTAAAGTCGAGCTAAGCCGGTATACAATATGGGTAGCACCTATTATTACAGTTAATTATATTGTAACGGATGGGTTATACAAGGTCATTGTACATCCCTTAGTAGACGATTCCTATTACAACTATTTATCTGGCAAGAGAAAAGGAACAACAGATTACATATGACACAGTTTATAGCAATGTAAGTCAAAGATTCTTATAAACAGGTTGTCTAAAGTAAATGATCTCCTAAAGTATTTTACAGTTTATTATGATAAATAATAAGTGTTCCCACATCCAGATACACTTCTTACAGTGGATGATATCAAACCAATGTTAATTGTCACAGAGACAAACACAATAAATAAGCAAACGCCATTGTATAAAGTTCTGATAAAACCCAGTAAGTTTACTCAAATGTTTTTCCTTGGCCGTTTAGTTGGCACATTTTACTAAATGTGAAATTCGAGAATCGTATTTTCTGCTAGGTCTGATGATTTTGTGTTCGGTTTATGTCAGATTGATTTTTAAGTATATTCGGAAATTTGGAAAATATAGCAAGTGCATTCAAAAATAAACGAACAAATTTATATTCATTATTAAGATTTTCTTACCTAGCCGTGATTGGAGTGTTTCAGTAAAAGACGAGACCATATTAAATTCATAAAAGCTTTTTTCCCTCATAGAATAATTCTGTAGTTCATATGAACTATTTGTTTCTAATTATTTCATCGTGCTTTCCATGAACTACGGATTTCACAATAGTTGCGCGGCTTTCAATCCTTCTCCAAGGCGCGCGTTTTGTAAATTGGTGAGTATTGTTGAATTTTCTCTCAGTCTAAGTCTTCTATTTTTATTGTGACTATGGAGGGAGGTGACCTTTAAGCAACAATAACGAGTATCTTGGAAGTTATCAGTCGGTAAAAAAGAGCTTTTTACGGAGAGGACGACGCTGCACAACTTGATGTCGCTCTAGAATCCATAAAAACATATGTTTTTATGGAATTTAATATCTTTTACTGGTTCTTCTGTCTATAATTAAAAAAGATAGTGACGTACGAAATCTTAATATAGTGGACACCTAATGTTTGTCTTCTAAAACCCCCAAAAGAATCCAATCATCTATTCGAACCACTTTCTTTTCCCTAGTAAAGGTTGGTTATTTAGAGAAAAAAATTAAGGGTTTTGGGTTTCAAATTCAAATTAAGACAGACTATAATGCAAGGGCATCCTGTAGCAATGTGAGCCAAGAGATTTACTCCCAAGCTATAGGTGCCATTTGGTTAGTTCGTTCGTAAGATGTAGTGCCACCAGGTACAGGCTTGTTACGGAATGTAGGACTGTACTACGTACTTCTTCACCTCAGTCCTCTTAAGGGTAATATTAACGTCAATAACGAACAAATTTTTGACAAAATCCAGTTATTCCTGAAACTTGTCAGTTCCTTTGAAGTTATTCACGTTATAGATGATATGTTTCCAGTCTAGTTTTATATCTAAACCGGTTCAGTAACGCACTGGCAATGGCTATGCGGCAATTTGCCATTGGCCATATCAAGTTACAGTATATAAAAATCTGCCGAAACATTTCCAGTGAAATACCCTGATACGTTTAGACGGTTTTCGGTGAGACTATAATTTATGGACGACCTTTGGGCGACAACAGACTGATCTTGAGATTGTCCACCTAATAAACAGGACCAAATGAAGGTTATAAATCTGTGTGAAGAGTTGGAATTATGATTTACAGTTGATGATTAAGGTTAGAAATTAGATTTAGGGTTTTCGCCACAAACTGACATCAGTTATAATGCCAAGACTCTGTTTGTCCAAATGAATGAGTGAATTTCGCAGTCAGTCAGTCAGCTGCAACGTAGGACCAGGCACATATATGCATCGGTCCAAGTTGCCATACCTGATTAACACAACAAGATGGACACCGGATTCATAAAAGTAGTTAATTCAGAGGTGGTAATATATAAAAGAAAGATTTCACATAAGGATATAGTACAGGAAGAAAGAATTAGTTCATAGAAAGAAAGATGTGAAGCGATTTTAATCTCAGTTTAAAGGAAGATAGAGAGTGTATACACCGACGCCATTGTGATCGATTCTGAGCCATGTCACCAAGAGTCTCCAACCATTGGTTACGATAGTCACGCGGACCCCAACCAAGTAGTCTGCATCTACCAACATGGCTCAGACTAGAGGTTAGTGTCTCCAAGCACTGATGCCACGTTTTGGTTTGGCCGCCCTTAACTTTCTGTGAATTTCGCACCAAAATCCGAAACCTTATATCTCACACATGAATGGTTCGTCCATAAATTATAGTCTCGCCGAGAAATTCCCCTTAGACTGTTCTTGTACGAATATTTACCAGTTTCACGCCTTTAATTTTTTCTCGAACATTAGTGGCTTGTTATTTTCTACCACAACTTTTCGATGTCACAGATATTTGCGTTTTGTTTAAGAATAATGATAAACCTTACCAATACCTCAACTTGTATTTTTGTTTCTCGTTAGATAACGTGTCCTTATGGAGAACCCTGTTTTTGATGATCCTAGTAATGAAGCCAAATATTGGCGGCAAAAGGCTGAAGAGTACCGTAGCGGGTAAGCTTCCTATCGCGGTGTTTGTATTCTTACCATGATTAATAGTATGGAAGAAGCACGAGAGGAGCTGGAAGACTTCCAGATTAGTTCACGAGAACTAGAACTAGAGCTTGAAACTCAATTGGAACAATTAGAAAAGCGCAATTCAGAGCTAGTCGTATTGTGTGAAAAGCTAACTGTTGAAAAAGATGCCTACCGTGTAAGTGTAAAAACAGTGATGTTTTGAGACAGCTGTTCTGGATAAAGAGATTGATATCTTCGGTTCTTACTATTTGTAGCATAAGGCGGAAAATAGTCAAGAATATGTTAATCACGAAATAACTAGACTTCAAGATGAATTAGAGAAGTCGAAGTTAGATCGAGAGAAAATGCACAAATATATCCGTGAACTGGAACAGTTAAATGACGATTTAGAACGTTCTAAAAGGTAGTTTATACGTTTGAAGCTCCAAGTACTCTTATTACAGAGCGACAGTTGTTACATTAGAAGATTTTGAATCCCGCCTAAACCAGGTAAAAATATGCTCCTCGTACATGCTTGGTTTTACAGGCTATTGAGAGAAATGCATTTTTGGAGAACGAATTAGACGAAAAGGAGGATCTAATGGTAACTGTCCAGCGACTTAAAGATGAAACTAGAGGTTAGTGTCATAAACTTTAGTAATCGGTTAAATAATTTGATTTTATCTCTTGGCTTACAAAATTTATTTTACAAAGCTTATTATTTATGGTTTCGCATTACGACGGGTTTGTAAGTAAACGTAAAGGTTGGATACCTTATATATATATATATATATATATATATATATATATATATATATATATATATATATAAGTAGAAGTTTTCCTAATATTTTTGTATTGTCTCGTTATCTCATCACGGGATATAATAGTTACCTACGTTGTAATTGGCTCATATAATGTCAGTGTTAAAAATTAACGTTAAAATCCACTGTTTCCGCTTTTTTTCTCACCATTATAGGTATCTAATCACTCATCCTTTTTGTCGGTTAGCTACTTATATATCTCAAATTTTCTTTCTTCATATTTTTACAACTGAGATCTTTGATGTGATTATACATTTTTTGGATAAATAGGAATTGAATACAGTGGTCTTGAGTGCTGTTAGAGGTATAAGGGCGGTTATCACTTCCCTGTTGCCCACACCGTGGAAGGGTTCTTCTGGAGGTACCTGAAAAGGAAATCGGATTACAAGTGGTCTTAGTGACCTGGGAGCGTGACCGCAGTGCTCAAGGGACAACTGCTTGAGGTCGGTCACACACGACCTTTTTGTGGGCAATTTTTGTGTTAGCTCCGTACTTGTTGAGACCTTACCGCTGGAGACGGACATCCGTGGGATAAGGCGAGGTGTGCATTTTTAGGGTCGACCTTTTCTAACCCGACCCCTCTTTGTGGGAAGGCAGCGTCGCTGTCATGCTGGTTGTCTGAAGGAAACACCTTACTGCTGTCACACCTCTGTACAGTCAGCAGTACGACTTCGCCTTCGGACCTTGGGTTTGTTGCTTTTAGTCTTACCGCTCTTCAACCGACCTTTCTGACATGTTAGGACCTTGAGGAACGGTTGTTGCAGCCAATATAGCTCGGTTGCTTCATCACGATAGGCAAACCCGACCACTACGTCAAGGTAGCAACAACGGTCGGGATTTTTTGGATGATATATATGATTGTTATAAGCTCTCTTAGTTCAGTTTTTTTCGAGCAACGTAATGTGACCAAGATTTCTATATGATGCAGTTGTTAACAGCTCGCCTTTCGAATGTTAAAGACACAAAGGTTTAGGTACGATAGTAGTTATTATTTACTGAACTTAATCGAAGGCAGTAGCTTCCTAAATATTCCGATATACATAGATTCAAATGTTTGCAATCACACTGTTGTAAGGAAGCTCTTGTCAAAATAGATAATAATTCATCAAGTATTTTGGTATGTGCCGCACTCAATGTATGGGGGTCAATGATACTACTGTGTTGCTCAAACCAAAGTTGGTGAGTCGGAGTTCGAACCTGAGGCCGAAATTCGGACTCCTTAATTACTAAATCACCTCTCCTTTGTCATTATGTGTGATACATGGATGTCATAAAATGGAGATTTGCAGTTCTATTGAGGAAAAAATGACCATACAGATTTCACCAAACATATTAAGTATGATTTATTAGTGTGCATATATTTTGTTCGTTATATTCGACTGTCTACTTGAATTAATGAAGGTAGTTCCTTTTTACTTTTACCTAATTTTTTGCTGTCAAAACAATAAAAAGCAATATGGATTTTTTGACAGGCCACTTTCTAAAAGCTTATGTTTCTTAACCAAAAACGAATTTAGGTAGCACGGTATCTAAATGTTGAAAGTATCTGCTCTGTGTAAGTGCTAATGTTTCGGGAACCAAATTTTAAAAGTGAATTCAAGTGAACTGAAAATACATTGTTAATTTTTGAGGCATTTGGTGGATGTAAAGAAAATTGACAAGACAGTTCACCACGTTCGTTACAATCTTGCGTCTTAAGCTACAAACCATACTTATTGTGCGCGGAAATATTGAGAAATTTAGTTGATGAAACTAGTGAAGTTCGTTAATCACGTACGACATTTTGTGTTCAAATATATGTCACTTAATATATGAATGTTAATACTACTACTACCTGTATTCTTCTGTAGTGATGAGTGTCCGGAGTGTTTTGAATACTATTTTTAGCAAATTCACTGATATTTTTCCAATCCTTGTTACAGACCTCCACCAAGAATTGGCTATAACTCGCCGTCAACCTGAATTGGGCACTCCACCAGAAGTATGTAATGGAGGCAATACCATTCCTACCAAAAGTTTTAATAAAAGTAAGTGAAATAACTTCCTAGCATCTCAATATATATGCATAATTTGTATTAAGGGATGTTAATTATCTTTCAAAGTAGTATTATGTCTGGTATGGTATAATCTCACCGTACACTTTGAAAGCAGTGGTTTTTAAACTCAAAACGCGTTAACAAAGGTTTAGCTTATTTATGACATATCAAGCTACTGTATTGATACACGATATTATTCCGTTTGAGTGAGTTTAACCATAATGTTCTATTTAGATTTTCATAGGTGAGATGTAATCTATAGGCTAAAAAGTCATTACTCCTTCATAATTACCTTTCCACTAGGTTTGTTTTGAACTATATTCCGAGTATTTAATCTTCCTTTTTATCGTTGCTACTGCATTATCTTGTTTTCTTCTGCTATTCATGACTCTGACTTCATCTTGTGCTAATGTGGTATGGCAAATTGGGCCAACGCACATCTGTGCTGGGTTCTGGGTTGATGACTGATTAAGCCTTGACTCTGTGGTGCCCGATGATAACAGAGCTGATAAGATGATTAGCTATGAAAATTAAAGACTGATAAGTAAAGTTATTTTTTAATGATTATATTTGAAAGGTGATTTACCACTGACTGACTGATTCACCATAGGGTCTCCATTATTGTAAACTTCTAGCTAAGTTCTTGATACATGATTAACCTACGTCGTAAGATATTCTGGGTTTTGTTATTAACTTCACTGTTTTTCTGTCTTATTCTGATTCGGCTGGAATATTTTCCGTGTGAAATGTACATAGGCATTATATATACTTACTGTTATTAAAATGCTTTCAAACACATTACCATTTAGCACACCTTACTTGTCGAGCACTTCGACCATTTAAATCTTTCACTGTTTTTGCTTTCTTCCCTAGTTTTAAAATATCTTACTAGTTTACCTCAATAGATCGCTTCAAATCATGTTGATAATGTTAACTAGGGATCTGCTGTTTCATAGTTTAAATTCAGCATTTCAGCCAGTTAAACTCTGTTAATGAAAACCAAGTAAATAAGTTGTAGCCCCTCCAATCAGTATGTAAACTTTGGAATTCATCATGGCATTTTGTTGAATATACTGATCTTAAGAATACACATTCATAAGTCTGTCAGCTATACTGTAATTTCTATATGCGGTTAGGCTGTTTATTTCCCAATGCAATAATATTCTCGTTGTATAGGTAAAAGTTCTGTGAAATAAGTTTTCTGCACTGAATTACATCATCTGAAGTACTACTGGACACCCACGAGCATCCAGTAAATGTTTCGTCCTAGTTTGTGATTCATTAGTGATTCACATCTACGACTCCATACAGGATCAAGTACAGGATATTCAGATGTAGTTCCAAAGAAGATTACCGAGTTGGGGTTAGATGATACATTTCTCCGGCTTCAATTAGTCGGTGAAAACGCTGTGATTATTCGGTAAAATTGGCAATAAATGTCTCGGTCTCGACATTGTTAAACTCCACTAATCGTGGCTGTTGACTAGGACTTCTGAAACTCACTTCAAATCCATTTGCAGAATTATTCCTTATTTGATTGATCTATTTATAATAATTCAGTACAGTTATAGTTTCTGTCACTAATATTAACTGAGAAGACATTAGATACCAACACTTTTACTCTACTAAACAATTAAAATTGCTTTATTTGCTCATTTACTCCTGTTTGGGTGTATCGGAATTTCTGTTATTTATGTATTCATAATAATCATCTGTAATGATGAATGTTAGATGACTAATTCTTATCGCTTTATCTCGTCTTAAAAACGACTGACATTGTGGCACGTGTCACTGAAAACATATTATTCCTTTCGCGGTATATATATATATATATATATATATATTGAGGTGTATTACGATGCACTAATTGTTCACATTTTTTTAATTTTTTTTTATCATAAGACGAAAATACTATGAAATCATTAATTAACTGGCACACTGCTCACTGTCGGTAAAGATTCCCTCAGAAACGGTTAACAATAATTGTATATCTGTTTAACTAGTTCATTTGGTTTTATAAACAAAACGATAAAATTGGGAGCAATTGATATTTATTTGTCATGATATCATTATTATATGCTTGGAAACAATTTGGCTAAATATTTTAAGTTGTTTATTAACCACAAGTTTATACATACAATTTTCAGCTGCACTGTATAAAATCAGATCATACCACTTTGCTGCCCAAACCTCGTTAGTTAGAGCAGGGTTCGAACTTAATCTACTGGTTGAAGGCTGAATACTTCAGACTATTATAAATCACCACTTTACTAAATACATGATTTGATATCGTTCTATACTACACTTATTAAAAATATTATTTAATATGATGGTAATAAGTTGTAGTTAGAGTTTGTGTCCAGTGTTGTACGTTTATGCGTCATGAAGACTATTTCGTAGTATATGTATTTCTAGCTTTGATTATGTTTTATATTTTACACTCCAGTGACTATCATATCAGTTTGTGACGAAAATTATCTTTAAATTGCCCAAGTCTCTTAACAGATCATTGTATTAAAGTTAATAGAAATGGTTTGTTGAAAAGGGAATTTACTTACCCAATGCTACAATTCATTATGTTAGGTCATCACATTATACAGAATTGGTATAAATAATTAGGCTTAACTTACCTCCAATATAATTTTTCAGTAAAGCGTTTTGTCCAGCAATGTATAACTAAATTCCTCGTGATACGTAGTATTAGTTGTCAACTTTAGTGAGTTACAACATAATTTCCCCTATTACGTACATATTTCTTTAGTTTAAGAATTTTTAAAAATAATTTTAGATTGAGTATTTTTTAGCTCTCCTCCTTTTATCCTAATGATAAAGCTATCGGATCAACTGTTTCGTCAAAATACTTTTACAGTTCTTTTTAGTCGTTTTCACGTTCTCAAGCTGATTTGATCTTATTCAATATAACGGTTTGAATTAATCCATAGATTTTAGTGATTCTATGCGGCCTTCGTTGAGCAAGATAGTTGGTGTTATTTATTCATTTACTTAAACAAAAACATTCGTACAAGAGGGCACCAAATACATATGCTCCACACAATAACAATGAGGTTGTTGAGAGATAGAGAATGTAAGGTGCGTATGACAAAAAGAAGAACAACAACGAACAGAAATTAGTGTATGAGTGTGAAATAATAATAATGGGAGAAATAGTTCAGTTAGGAAAAACACAACCAGAAACAATTCTTTTAGTTAAAGAAGTTACGTTCACTTTTATGAAGACAGTAAAAGGAAGTTACAGCAGGATTGCCACTGGCTTCTATTCTGAGCCATGTCTGATAATGTCTCTAGCCACTGTGTTGCACCATCTCTAGGGTCCTAACTAGGCAATCTTGAAGTACCAAAATAAGCCAGTCCTATACAATTTTCTTTCAGGTAATGACACCATGTCATACACTGACCACCTCTCCGCTTTTTCCAACCAGTCCCAACATCGGGAAATAATGCACGACGTAGAATTCTTTGGGTCGACATTCGTAAGACATGTCGAAGTCACTGACGTCGATGTTTTGAGATAATGACACCAATTGAACTATCATCACTGTACCCGAACACATGATCCCGAACCTCCATGTTACTAACATGGTGTCGCCACTGGATGTCAGCAGTCCTTCAGACTTGACGATGATCAAACACAGAGAGTCGTCTAACATCCTCAACTCGGAGAGGCCAGGTCTCTCAAGCATAGAGCAAAACTGCTCTCACCGACGCGTTGTAGATCCGACCTTTTACACCCAGACTGACATCACAAAGGCGCCAAAGATGGCCCAGATTAGTATAAGCCACTCTGGCTTTCACTAAACGTAAATCGGTTTCATAACCCACTCCACTATCAGCACTTATGCAGCTACACAAATACACGAACTTGCCGACTGTCTATATCTACTTACTACCCAGAGTGAGTCCAGGTTCGGGGTCCTGCTAGTGCTTTGCACTTGGAAGGTGCGGAGCACATGCCATAATTACGGACACTGGGTGTAAGAGGTCGAATTGACAACCATTCGGTGAGAAGTTTTGAACTGTGCTTGTGAAATCTGGCCTCTCCGAATTTAGGATACTAGGCGACTTTCTGTGTTTGGTCATCGTTGTCTTCAAATTATTGCTGGTATCCAGTGGCAACACCATATTAGGAATGTGGGGGTTAGGCAATATGTGTTTGGGCACAGTGACAGTAACTCAGTTGGCGTCACCATCTTGAAACACCGACTTGGACATGTACTACGAATCTCGTCCTACATAATTCTTAGTCATGAATCATTTTCCGACTATGGGACTGGTTGGGAAAAGCAGAGAGGTGTTTAGTGTATGACATGGTGTCATGATATGAAAGTAAGCTGTACAGGACGGGAGTCTCTTGTTCCTTCAAGACTCCCTATTTAGGGTCCCAGAGATAGGGCAAGGCAATGGCTTGAACGTAACTTCTTTGACTGGAAGAATCCTTTTTGTTTCTATTTTTCTTAACCGAACTACTTCCCCCATTATTTTTGTTTTTCTGTCGTTCACTAATTTTTATCCAGTTTTGTTATTTTCTTATTGTACTCACTCTTCTTTTCCTATCTCTTCACCATCCAATTTTCTTATTGTATGGGGTATATATATTCTCATATCCTTTTGCACAAATATTTATGTGTTTAAATAAATAAATCTTACAGGTGGCCAGATCTTCTTAATATTCGTAAGGTAAGCAAGGAATCCACCTATTCACATAGTCTACATTTTTACTTCGCTTACCATGCAACTTTGAGACATTTTATGATTTATGTGATTTCCATTGGTACATCGTACTGTGTTGTGCTTCTCTATTTTCAAGACAGCTGATGACATCAGTAGGCCGTTTATATTATGGCTTATTTGAAAACTTGTATAACCTGTGACTAGTTTTTGAGTGATAGCACTTTCTGTTGACTAGTTTTACCAGCCTCATTTAAACTGAACTTTTCTTGTTACAAACCGGTATTTATCCTCCCTTTTTTATG